GTCTTTGCAAATAGGGAAGGGTGGAGGGGGTGAAGGGAGGGGAAGGGAAGTGGAAAAAAAATAAGAACCAAGAGACTAATGTAATGGTACAAGATCCCAATGATGAATGTAATTGTACTTTATACCTAAAATGTACCAATAAAGTCAATGGGGAAAAAAAACAAAAAACCAAAAAAACAAAGTTAGGAGTATATAACTACACTTGTAACTGATATCATTTTATGATCCAGATCACTAAATTAATAGTCCTCAAAATAAAATATCAAACAAGTTTCACAAAAAAGTATCACATTCTACATTTAAATGGCATCTTTATCAGTTATAAAATGAACCACATTATAACTCTTCTCCAAGTCTGCAATAATTACTAAATAAGAGCTGTATAATTACAAAGAATGTCAGTGAATGGCTTATTCAATTAATACAGTTTGATTCATAAAGGGTCTTTTTTTCTTAGCAAAAACAAGCTTCCATTCATTACCTAACATCAGCCTTTTCTTTAGGATTACCAGATTTGACCAGGATGGGCGCGGGCAGTACGGGACTTGGCATTAACTGTGCAGCAGCATCAGTGAATTCCTCTGCAGCACTGGCTGGGATTTCCACTAGAGTCAAAATGAACGCTTGCTCATCCTCTCCGTCTTGATGCACATTCCCAAACAGATTCACTGCAAAGTGTGAAAGTTAGTAATGAAATGCTCAACTGAAAATCATTATTTCACTTCTAAAAATAAAGTCTCACTGACACTTTATCATTACAACTAAACAAAATTACAGCCCAATCCCCAAAAATAATTTCATAAAGGGTAAAGATGATATTAAGGGAAGGGTCTGTAATTTTGAAAAACAAAACTGATACACAAAATACTTCAAGTTTGTTTTTGTTTAAGGACACCACAGTTTTAAAAAACTTTTATTTTTCCAGTTAAATGTAAAAATCATATTAGGTTCTGAGACTTCAATAAATCAGATGATCATACCTGTTAGGTCTTGAGTGTTGGTTATATTCTCTTGTTGCACTTCTGGAATACTAGTTGGTGTACACTGCCATAAAAAGTAAAAGGGAAGGGTGAATTGTGACAAATCTTAGTTTTGAAGTTTCCCATCAATGTGATATAGCAAAGAGATACTGTGTCAAAACTCTATGGTTTATCTTAAACATTTACAATTTCTCAAGTGTTTTGAAGATTTTAACTGTCAATAACTTTTTTTTGGTACTGAAATTGAATCTAAGGTCTTCAGTCTTTTTTATTTTTTAAGACAGAGTGTTGCTAAGTCACTAAGTTACCCAGGATGGATCTGAACTTCTGAGCCTCCTGCTTCAGCCTCCCAGGGTGCTGGGATTAAAAGTGTGCACTGCCACGTATGGCAAAGTAAAATTTGATTTAAATAAACACAAAGAATTTTAAACAAGCACTATACCACAGAGCTATCTCTCCAGCCCTTTTAAAATTTTGAGACAAGGCCTCATTAATTTGCCCAAGCTGGGCTCTAACTTCCTACTTCAGCTACTTCTGAATAGCTGGGATTACAAATGTGCATCACCACTGTGCATGGTGAGATGATTTTTGAACTGACAAGACAGATCCAAACTTTCAACAATCTCTTTACTCTCCTCACACCAGTCCTGTACTGTAAGCAAATACTGTCTCAATGAGGCAAACTTCTCTCCTTACCTCCACTGTGGTTTCTAACAATCTATCCTCCATAAAACTACTAACAGCCAGGCATGGTGGCGCAAGCCTGAAATATCAGCTCTCTGGAAGCCTGAAGCATGAGCAGTTCAATTTAGCAAGACTCTATCTTAAAAAAACAAAAAAGAGAGAGAGAGAAGGAGGCACTAGGGATGTAGCTCAGTGTGAAGGCCCTAAATTCAATCCCCAATACCTCAATAAAATAAAATAAAACCTACTAACACTGATTTCCCAAATAGTAGTCCCAATGGTAATTCTCTAATGCTTAAAATCTTAACTTTCATTTTGTAACCAAAAATGTTGATAACTGATTCAGGGAAGACTCATGAATGGATACCAAAACAACTGGGCAACCAGCTGCTGGGACTTACTGGCCAATATACAAACACAAAGTGGAAAAGACATCCTTGTGATGGAGAGATCTGGCAGGCATCATTCTAGCCAAATGCTAAGTCAACAACACCAATAATGGAACAAACTGACATTATGTGTCTCTTGATGTGATGTTAGTTAAGGGAAAAACACAACATCACCTATGTAGTAATCTTGACTCAAAACTAAATTCAGTAATGAGGAGGCAAGTAAAAAAAAAAAATCCAGGGCCGGGGATTTAGCTTGCCTGCCTCGCAAGCGCAAGGTCCCAAGTTCGATCCCTGATAACAAAAAAAAAAAAAAAAAGGCTATAATGGACATGACTGGAACAGCTGAGGAAACCTGAATAAAAATTGTATATTAAATTATATTAGTGGGGGGCGAGCTGTCGCCGGCCACGGTGCTGGGGCGCTGCGTGCCTCAGGTGGCCGTGCCCGTGTGGCCCCTGGCGCTGGACCTGGCGCACAAGGCGCGCGGCTCCGGTGACCCCTCCGCTGGGGAGCCGCCGACTCCAACCCCGCCACCACCGCGGGGTTCGCCGGCCCAGGACGCCCAGGAGGAGCTGGCCGCGGCCGGCCCCTAGAAGCTGCAACCTCCGCCCGACCTCTGCCTAAAGAGAACCCCTGAACCAAAAAGCCGTGGCAGCACCTGCCCCCCGCCGTGCCCCTGCCCGACACCCTGGAAGCAGAGCTCAGTGTCCCAAAACCTATAAAAGCAGGAATACTCAAGACAAAGAAATCCAACAAGGCCAGCGATTTCAGCGATATGACTCTTTGGCCAACACCAGGTGAATTAGTGAACACTGGATTTCAGAGTGTCTTAAGCCAAGGAAGTAAGAAGCCACAAATTAGAAAAGAAAAAGAAGAGAAGATTGAAAAGAGTAGTAACAGTGAGAGCAAAGAAAACCGGGAAACAAGATTCAACGGTCCTGGTGAAAACGTGAGTATGAGACTCAATCAAGTAATCAGCGAAAGAGGGCTAATAAGCACAAGTGGGTACCGCTCCACTTAGATGATCTTAGGCCAGACAGCCAAGAAAGACCTGGATCCCGGAATAACTCAAGATGTCAAGCTGAAGCAAATAAGTCAGCACATAATAACAGGAGAAATGATACACGAAGTTGGAGGTGAGATAGAGAAAAAAGAGATGATCAAGATGAAGTCTCCAGTGTGAGAAGTGAGGGTGGCACTATCTGAGGTTCCTTTAGAGGCTGAGGATGGGGAAGAGGACGAGGCAGAGGAAATCCTCGACTGAACTCTGAGTATATGTATGGTTATGGAGAACACGGTGCAAGGTGATCAACCATCTCAAACGGAATTTAATGCCAGTATGATGCGCTACTATGATGATGGGACAGGCGTACAGGTGTATCCTGTGGAGGAAACACTGCTTAAATATATTAAACGCCAAATTGAATATTACTTCAGTATAGAAAATTTGGAATGAGACTTCTTTCTTCAGAGAAAGATGGATGAACAAGGTTTCTTGCCTATTTCTCTGATTGCTGGTTTTCACTGTGTTCAGGCTGTCACCACAAACCTTAATCTCATCTTAGAGGCAATGAAGGATAGCACAGAAGTTGAAATTGTGGATGAGAAAATGAGAAAAAGGGTAGAACCAGAAAAATGGCCAATCCCAGGCCCTCCTCCACGAATCATGCCACAAACAGATTTGTCTCAACTGATTGATTGTCCAGAGTTCATACCAGGCCAAGCCTTTTGCTCACAATCAAGAGTCTGCCCCAAATTCTCCAAGAACTGGAAGTCCCGTGATTCCAAAGAAAAATACTGAAACAAGTAGTCTTCAAGCAATGTTTGGAGGTTTGTCTACCAGTTTACCTGACTCGGATTCAGAACCTTGGATAGAAGTAAAGAGGCATCACCTGTCTCCAAATTAAAGGAATCAATACCTATACCTGAAGAGAGATCAAATCAATAGTGTCTTTCAGACGAACAATAACAAGTACTTGATTCTCTATTTGATGAAGAGATGGAATAAATGGATGAAAAAATACATTTACTGATTGGTCCGATAAAGATTGAGATTATGAAATTGATGACCGGGATTTAAACAGGATTTTGAAACTCAGACAACACCTTATACGAGAAAACTTCCTGGAGGAGACTGAATAGGAAACCACATATCTTAGACAAAACTTACATGAGAAGTTGCTAAAGTTAATCAATAATGGCTCATATTACCATGAGCAGGATCTATGGATGGATAGAAGATGAAAAACACAGCCATAAAGGTAATTATTTCTGCCCCCCCCAAATTATATTAGTGAACAAATACTAAATACTATGGTAATGACTTAGGGTGAGAAAAGGACCATCACTTCTATGTAAAAGAACAACCTTGTTCTTATTACCAAGATGGAATATTTAGGGGTAAAGGCTCATGTCTGCAATTTTCAAATGGTTCAGTTTTTCAAAGAATCCATTCACCCACCCACTCACCCACCCATCCAACCATTCATTCAAGGAGATGGAGGGCAAACGAGAAAGCAAATGAAACTCAGTGTTAACACTTAATAAATCCAAGGGAAAAAATATGGAAGAGCTCTTTCTAAGACTCTTTCATTTTTCTGTTTGAAATTATTTCAAAAGTTAAAATGTTGGGGAGGGTCCTCATAACTTTGGATGCTATCAAACTCCTTAGCAAGTCATAAAAATCCCTTATTACCTGTCTGCAAATGATTTTTTGGGGGGGTACCAGGGTTCAAATTCAGGTCTTTGTGCTTGCGCAGCAGGTGGCCAAACCACTGAGCTAAATCCCAGGCCCAACTTTTCTTTTTTTTCTAGTTTTGGATTTGTTTGTTTGTTTGGGGGATACTGAGGATTGACCCCAGGAGCACTCTACATTCCCAGCCCCACCTCCCTTTCTTTCTTGTTTCAAGGTCTCACCAAGTTGCCCAGGCAGGATTTGAACTTGTCATCCTCCCACATCCAGATCCCAAAGTGCTGAGATTACAGGTTTGGCCTGGTTTGCAGGCCACCTTTCTAACTTCATCTCTAACCCTTTTACTCATTTATATTCCACTCATAACGATATACAATCCCAAATATGTTGGGCTGCTCCACACCTGTATTTTCATATTTCTTTCCCTTTAATCCACTCATTTATACTTGTTCTTTAAAGGATCCTCTCATTCAGGGAACTTTTTTAAAAAAATCATTCTCTACATCTTTAAGCACAGAGACCTCTCCAACATGTCACCTACAGACCATTTCACCCACTGCTTTCGCCGCCAAGCCTCTTATCTCTTTCCTCAGCAATGGTGAGGTGGATTCTTTTTCCTTGCAGAAGAGAAATCCATTGCTTGTTGCCTTTACTAATAACGAAAATGTTGGAGAGCCAGGTGGCAAAGCTGTTGCTGTTGGCATCTTTTAATTGAACCACATGAAAAGAGCCAGGATGTTTCTCCTTGTTAGTGATCATGCCAATCCCTCCCAAGTAAGCACCTCCAGTCACCACACACAGGTCACCAATGTCAAACCTGATGAAACTGGTGATCTTGCCAGATGCCAAATCGATCTGGATGGTATCATTCACCTAGATTAAGGGATCAGAGTAGCCAATGGTGGGAGCATCGTGGGTCACCAGATGAGGGATTCCTTTGGTGCCTACAAAGATCTTTCTCACTTTCCAAATGTTCTACTTGGTTTCCTCAGGTGTGATATGAATGAACAGCAGAGCAACCCATCTGTCTGATCAGACAGAAATGCTCTCCGGTCTTGGCAACGCTGATGACATCCATAGAGCCAGCAAGGTAAGTTATACCAGTTCAGAATGCTATCAATCTTAATGAAGCACTGCATACTTAAGTCTATTTCTTAGGAAGATGGTGAGAGGCTGACAATCTCTCAGCTTGCGGGAACTAGAGGATAGACGAGGAATAAACATGCCAGTCAATTTATCCAGCATCCAATGCTTTGGAGCTGCTGCTCACTTCAGATGCTTCTTGGGACCAGAAGCCATGGCTGACCTCTCGCCAACTTCACTGTTTTCACTCCTGGAGCATGGCTCTTAGTGTGGCACTCCTCCACCCTGCCTCTGAATGTCCCCAGGGAACTTTTTTTTCCTTTTTTTTGAAACAGGGTCTCACTATGTAGTTCAGTCTGGCCTTGAACTCATTATGAAGCTCAGGCTGGCCTCAAACTCATAGCAATCCTCCTGCCTCAGCCTCCTGAGTGCTGGGATTATAAGCATGCATCACCGTGCCCGGCTTTCCGAGGGAACTTTTTAAAGAAAATATTAATGCTTGAGCCTTATTCCCAGAAATTAATTAATTTGAGTGGCGGTAACTCCTATAGAGTCTTGTACAAATCTATCATATGGTATCATATTGTAAACTGAGTTTAAGAATTCATTTGTCTCCCACAGATTTATATCCCACTGTCTAAAGGTGCCAGACATGTAGTAATAACATCTCAAAAAATATCTACTCTCAGGGCCGGGAATTTAGCTCAGTGGTTTCGCCGCCTGCTGCGCAAGCGCAAGGACCTGAGTTCGATTCCTAGTACCAAAAAAAAAAAAATACCTACTCTGTGTACAAAACAAATATTCTGTGTACAAAACACTTGCTCCTGAAAGCTTTCACAACAAAGCTGGCTAACAACTCTTCTATCTCTATGTTCTAGAGACTAAAGACATATTTAATTAAAATTCAATTGCAATACATTCTTGTAAAAGGTAAAGCTACAGGGGAAATGGGTCGGTGACTCTTAGGAGCTGACGTGACAGAAAGGTGAGTATGAAAGGGCACTGATGATTGTTGTGATGAACCGTTCCTATATTGGTTATAAGACTATAAATCTGTAGAACTTACAGAATGGAACACTCAAAGGGTGACATTTGAGCCACTGCTGGTATAGCTTGCCTAAAATGCATAAAGCTCTGAGTTAGATTCCTAGCACCAAAAAAATAAATGTGTACACACACACAAACACACACACGACAGAGGGTAAAGTTTATCATATGAAAATTATACATAAATCGCTTCTCGGCCTTTTGGCTAAGATCAAGTGAAAATTATACATTAACTTTTTTTTTAATGGGAAGACACATCTGCTACCCCTTGTGACAGTCTACATTTTTTTACCTCCGGCACATGAAGTGTGGATACACTGTCTCCTTTAGCATCCTTTATCAGGGGCTCTTCAACAGAATTCTTACTGAGACCCCCACTGGAAACAAGTGTGGGGGGCCCTGCCTCAGAGGAAAGATTGGGAGCAACTGGCAACATCTGAACCTCTTGAGAGTTCTCTTCTTGATCCTCATTTCTGAAAGAGAGTATTAGTATTAGTATGTTATTTGACATCAGGCAAACACAACTATGGAAGTACTTTTAGCGCTAGATCCGTGAGAGATCATCTAATTTAATGGTTTTGAGCTTATAAAATATATTCAACTCAATGGAACTCTTTTTCAATCAGATTCTTACAGCCAGAGCCTATAGCTACAGTGGAGTCCCAGAATCTGTCTTCCCTCTTTTACCTTGCAGTTGGATTTGCTTCTTGTGAAATACTGGTCCCTTTGATATGCTGCACACATGCCAATTGGTTCTGCTCCTGATTTTCTGCTGTCCTGACTGGCCCAGAGTTTTTATCTTCCAATTCTGTTGCCTTGGAAGCAATGTTCTCAGTTTCTTTAAAAAAAACATACTTAAGGTGTAGTTCAAAATAATACCACTAGGTCCCATTTGACCCAGCGATTCCCCTATTGAGTATCTTCCCAAAAGAATTAAAAGAATCATACCACAGAGATATATGTGCACTCATGTTTATAGTGGCACAGTTTGTAATAGCTAAAGCTTGGAAACAGCCCAAGTGCCCATCAGCTGGAGACTGGATGAAGAAGGTGGCTTTTTTTTATAAAATGGAGTACTACTCAGCCATAAAGAATGAGAAACTAGTGTCATTTATAGCTAAATGGATGCATAGAGGCCATCCTCTTAAGTGAAATAAGTAGGACACACATGTGTAAATATCAAATAGTTACTCTAGTGTGAGAAACTGAAAGTGTAAATAAGGATTAAAAGGATTAATAATGAATAATTGATACTTTGAAATAGGAAAGGGTCCAAAGGGGTAGGGGTGGTGGGAGGGGAAGGGGAAAGGAAAGAAGGGAAAGGAAAAATCATGAGAAAAAGAAAAAAGTGGAAACAATGTCTTTGTAAGTAGGGAAGGGTGGAGGGGGTGAAGGGCACACAGGTAATGGGGAAAAAAAATAAAAACCAAGATACACCGTGTACAGGTACAAGCACCCAATGATAAATGTAAACGTATTACATACCTAAAATTACCAATAAAAGAATTTGAGAAGAAAAAAATAATAATACCACTAAAATCTCCGTATTAGAAACACATCCTCTCTAACAACACAGATAGCAATGCAGTGACTCCTCCAAACTTCCCTAAATCCAAAACCCAGTGTAATCACATGGCAGAATGGTGGTTCTGGTCACTGAGATGTTTCCACAGTCAATGATTAGCCTAAGAGCTTCTGGATGCTGCTCAAGGCAGCACAATAATTAACACACTGCACATACACACGGTACCACAGGCATTGCTGGCTCAAAGGGAATCCTAGAAACCAGAAAAGGCAAAACAGGGGAAAGATGATGCTATCTGTCCTGGTCTTCAAAGCATGGGTTCAATTCATTCTGACAGCCAGCTGTTTGCACAGCTTTCCCTGCCCTTACTATCCCCCGAGGGGGCTGGACCCTCAGCCAAGAAGGTGGGGGTAGAAAAGAAAGGACTGAGAACAAACTTTATATCAGAATACAGTGAGGCCATTAAAAAAATGAAAGCAAACACTAAAAAGAAGGTGCAGAGCTGGGGATGTAGTGTAGTGGTAGAGCACCTGCCTTGCATGACTGAGCCCCTTGGGCTCAATGCCTAACACTGTGAGGCAAAAACAACAACAAAACCAAACCCAGAAAGTGCTAATGTATTAAAATGTTTTTCTTCAGGTGCTGAGGACTAAACCCAGGGCCTTTGAACTAAAACATTTACCTCAATAATAAAAAGACACACCAATTTTTTTTAAAAATAGATTTCAAGAGCTGTTTTTCTAAAGAAGATACACAAATGAGCACATGACAAGATATACAATGCTATTAACACTTAGAAGAATACAAATCAAAACCACAATGAGCTGGGCACAATGGTACACACCCATAATCCCAGCTACTCAAGTGGCTGAGGCAGGAGGATCAGAAGTTGGCAACTTAGTGAGATCCTATCTAAAAATGAAAAGCAAACAAAAAGAGGGAGGGCGACTGGGATGTAGCTCAGTGGTAAGGCACTCCTGGGTTTGATCTGCAGTACCACAGAAATAAACAATAAAACAAAAAATTCCACTACAATGAAATATATCTTCATACCAAGATAGCTCTAATCATCAAAAGGACAAAGAAAAAAAACCAAAAAAAATGCCTGGAAAGACGTTGAGAAACTGAAACAGACTGCTAGTGAAAACATAAAATGGTGCCAATATCTACCATAAATGGTGCTTTTTTCAATTTGTGGTACTGGGGGACTGAACCCAGGGACACTTGCCACTGGCTACATTACCTCTCCCTTCCTTTCCTTTTCTCCTTTTTTCACCCCCACCCCCTTTCAGCAGGGTCTTGCTAGGTTTCCCAGGTAAGTCTTGCACCTGTAATCCTCCTAACATTTCTTTTTAATATATTTCATTTAACTGATACATAAAAACAAAAAAAACTATACATATTTAAAAGTTTGATAACTCCTCAACAGGGTAAACAATGTAGTTCCATGACAAGCACTTAGCCTGCATGAGGCCCTGGGCTGAATGCAAAACACTCCCACAAAAAAGGTTAAAAAGAATTATCATATGACCAAGCAATTAAACCTGTAGGTATAAGCTCTAGAGAAATGAAAACATATGCCACATAAAATGTATATGTAGCAGCCAGGCATGGTGGTAATCCCAGCACTCGGGAGGCTGAGGCAGGAGGATTGCCATGAGTTCAAAGCCAGCCTAGGCTACATAGTGAGTTCAAGGCTGGCCTGAACTACATAGTGAAACCTTGTCTCAGAACAACAAAAATAAAAACAAACAAAAATGTATACATAAATGTTCTTGGGGGGGAGGGGTACTGGATACTGAACACAGGGCCTTTGCCCTAAGCTACATCCTCATTCCCTATTTTATCTTTTACTTCGAGTCAAGGTCTTGGTATGATGCTAAGTTGCCCAGCTGTGCTCAACTTAAAAGATCCTCCTGCCTCAGCCTTCCTGAGTGCTGAGATAACAGATGCATGCCACTATACCTGGCTATGCACTTCTTATTCACTGGTTTCTGGGAAGTGTGATGAGCATAAAAAACAGCAAATACCAAGCAAGTTGTGTTGGCTGGAAAGGGTACCAAGTACAGCAATGAACTCTAACAGGTTCCTGCTTGCACAGCAAGTACCAAACAAGCAATAAGTGCCAGGGCAAAATGTCATTGAAATGGACCAGTTCCATGAATTTCAAAGCTGTACCGAAGTATGACTTTATATACATTGTGGAATGATTACATCTAGTTAAAATAACAAATGCATTAACTCAAGAGTTATAGCATTTTTGTGGTAAGAGCACATCATATCTGTTCTCTTTACATTTTAAGAATACTGTATTAGGGCCAGGGATTTAGCTCAGTGGTTTTCGCCGCCTGCTGTGCAACCACAAGGACCCAAGTTCAATCCCCGGTACCAAAAAAAAAGAGAATACTGTATTATATATCACCATGAACTATGGTCACTTGGCTGTGTGATTACAAAACTGATACTAAACCTTATGTGTGCTATAGTATGTGTATATATTTATTCTTTCCAAAGGAAATATACATGTATAGACATGTGTTTATATAAATGTGAATGCATGTGTGGTATATGTACATACACACCTCACTTAGATGCTTACATGTGTATAAAATGTTTTTGGAAGTATACAATAAAAATAAAAAGGGCTAGGGATATGTCTGAATACAAAGGCCCTAAATTTATTCCCTAGTACCAAAACAAACACAAAAACAAAAAAGACCATTAATAGCAGTTCATCACTGAGTGAGATAAGGGGACTGCAGACCAAGGATGAGGAGGTTTTGTTCGTAATACATTTTGTCCCTTGTGGGCACTAATCTACTGTTTGCCACAGGTATTGCATACACACTTTTCTAAGAGACATATGCTTGAATATTTAAGTATATACATACATCAGCATATACACATTAAAAATATAGCAAATATAGCAAAATTCACCAATTACTGAAATCAATTGTTGGATTTATGAATATTTATTTTATAGCTTGTTGTACTTTTTTGGAAAGCTTCTACAGTAATTAAAAATAATTTTAACAACCTAATGTTCCCTTGAAATGCAAATGCAATTTCTTGTGCCAAAATAATTTGTAACTTCTAAGAGAACAATAAAGTCTACCTTTTTGACTTTCCACTTCATCCCCTTTGGATACACCGGAAACTTCCTGATGAGCATCAACCCTGTTGGTCACTAATACCTCAAGATTTGGCTCAGGCCTGACAAATCTACTTCTATTTTGAAAACTACTATCCACTTTAGAAGCTGTACTCCTAGAAATGAAGAAACGAGAAATTTAGCAATTATGCAAGAATTCTTTCCTTCTACCATTGATACAGTTCATCTGGCCCTGTGCCGCCTGCCCATCATGGGCCACACTATCTATGAATGTTCATTTCTTTGCCACTGAGCTACACACCCTGCCCCAAGGTGTTTTTTTGTTTTGTTTTTTCCTCAGTACTGGGGACTGAACCCAGGGCCATTGCACTAAGCTATATCCCTGGTGCTTTATTTATTTTGAGACAGGGGCTCACAAAATCCCTAAATTGTCCAGGCTGGGTTCAAACTTGGGATTCTCCTGCTTCAGCCTCCCAGTATGCTGGGATTACAGGTATGTACCACTATGCCCAGCTAAGTATTCACTTATTAATGCTAAAATAACTAATAATTTTACTAGATGTCTTGAGAAGAACTTCTATACCATATTCATGAATTATACATTCATATAAATCTATTGCATTAAGCTTCAAAGACATGAAATACAGTATAGTGGTACCTCGGTTCACACAGCCAATTCTCTTCACAATTGTGTTTGTAAACCAAACTGGATGAAAAAAGAATCAAATTTCCCTATAAGGTCAACATTGAACCTAATCATTGAATTTGAGTTGGTTTTTATCCAACTTGGTTTGTGACCAGAATTGTGGAAAGAACCAAGTTAATGAACCGAGGTACCACTGTATAATTTTAACATGCAAACCATTAACCCATTAAAATCTAAATCAGCCAATCTTTAATTTAATGTATAAGAAATTAGCTTTACCTTCTTTGAATTTATAGAATACTCAAAGCTACAGACTGAAGAGATAGGACTAAATACATTTATTAATTGAATACTAAAATAAACCTGGTTGATGTAGTGTTCTCCATTATTTCCTCCTTTAATCCAACTTCTTCTCTATTCTGCTTCTCTGATACACACTTGTTTTCTTCAGTTGCAGATGTATTAATGACAAATGAAGAAAGCTCTTGACATTCGTGAACAATTTTGTGACTTACATTATCTGGGCTAAAAGGAATATGACTTTTATCCTTTGAATGAACATCAGGAAATACACATACTCCTACTGCAGAAAAAAATAGGAAATTAAAATTGAGCCAATAAAAATAGAAATCCAAATAAAATCAATTCTTCAACATTTAATAACTGTAAAATTCTGTATTACTAAAGTTTGTTTCTTTTTGGGGGGTTCCAAAGTTAAATACTGTATATAAAGTCATATTTGAAGTCTCGAATTTGGCCTGTAATAAGCTTGATTCTTAAGAATGAAAGTTTGTGTTATTACAAGTAAAAATGAAGCTGGGCATAGTGGTGTGTCCCTTGCAATCTCAGCACTGTGGGAAACCGAGGCAGGAGGATTTCAAGTTCAAGTCCAGACTGAGCATCTTAGCAAGACCCTGTCTCAAAATAAAAAACAAAAATAAAAAAGGCTGAAGACGTAGATAGAGAAAACGCTCTGGGATCCTTTCCTCATACCAAAAGGAGTAAAAAAAAAGGTGAAAATGATTCCCTTTCTTACTTACAGGAACTACATAACCCTAGATTTCAAGATAGGATGGCCTTCAGATACTAATTTTTAAAACCTGTACTTTATCTTCTAGAGATCTGTGACAGGCTTTATTCTGAGACTCTGCTACTGAGAAAGCAGCCCTCTACAGGACACAAATCAGAGACTTTCCTGATATACATCTCTACAAATTTAAGTCTAACAATGAGGGCTGGCGATGCAGCTCAGGGGTAGGAAGGGCACTTGCCCAGCATGTGTGTGAGGCCCTGGGTTCAATCCTTAGCACTATGCCAAAAAAATAAAAAATAAAAGAGGTTTAACAACTAAAATGGATGACAGCATGACAGGTCAGTCATTACCAGTCAATTATAAAATTAGTGTAATTATCCAACTAATGCAGATAATGGTAAGGACCATAGCTTCTAACTTCAGTCAAATATATTAAAAATCTATACTGGGCCGGGGATTTAGCTGAGTGTTTCCAGTGCCTGCTTTGCAAGTACAAGGTCCCGAGTTCGATCTCCGGTACTCCCCCCCAAAAAACAAAAAAACTATACTGCCATATTTTTTTTGGCTCTGTCCAAAGTATTAGAACAGCTTATTCAATGAATCTTATTATCCCCCCAAAGAGTATCTGTCATGTAATTTGAAGACCATTTCAGGCAGCAACTCCTTTGCTAAAGAAACACATAAAATGATCAATAATCATTGAGCTCAATTAACCACCAATGTTTATAAGGTAGAAAATCCACTGATCAACTATTCCATGAATATAAATTATTCTTAATAAACCACATTCACTATCTTGAAATGGTTGCCACTACATCTAACAGGGCTAAAATAGTGGCTGAATCATATACAACATTACCTCTTCTAGAAAAACAATAGTGATATTTTTAAATATAAAAAGCTTATTACTCAAAGTGTGGACATGATTTCTTTTATTTTGGACCTGATTTCTTAACAGTTACATTTTAAGTTTCTCTTTGGCAGGCCTTATCTTCCACTCTTACCATCACCCTGGTCAGTACTCATCTCCGACTGCAGCATTAGATCTCCCATTGTAAGTAAAGTTATGGCAGCTTCCGTGCTCCCATCACTGGTACCTTGTGAAGAAACACACCAACATTGAAACAGATAAAGGGATATGGAAATGAATTTATTTAAAACAGATTCTTAACTCAGGTGTTTTTCTTCTAGTAATGATATCACCATTCTCTGTACTTCCTTACTAATGTGTTTCGTTCAGCTTATATACATATATACTACCAATTTAAAAACCATCACTTTTGGGCCGGGGATTTAGCTCAGTGGTTTCGCTGCCTCCTACACAAGCACAAGGACCCAAGTTCAATCCCCAGTACAAAAAAAAAAAAAAAAAAAAAAAGTCACTTTTACTCTTGGCTATTTTCACTCACTGAAAACACTGAAGAAATGCTTAACAAATACTTCTTTATTATATATTTAACTCAGTTCACCTTCATATCAAGTGCTATGGTTTGCTCTATTTAAAATGTCCCTAAAAGGGCTCCTATGCTCATAGCTGGAGCTTTTGGAAGATGACTGGATCATGAGGTATTGCACTCATCAGTGGATTCAGCCATTGATGAGCTCATAGCTAAATGTGTTGATAGGAGGTGGGGCCTGGGTGGAGGAGATGGATCACTGGGTGTAATCTGAAAGGATATATTTTTGCCCCCAGGGCCCCACCCACTCTTTCTACTCTGCTTTCTTCTGCCGTGACCCTCCACCCTCCACACCACAACGATTCTGCTTGGAGCCAGCCCATCATGGACTGAAGCTCTTGCCTCAATAAATCCTTCCTCCTATCAGTTACAAGTATCAGGTATTTTGTCCCAGCAATGGGAAGGTGACTAATATACCAGGTTTAACACAGAGATAATTTAATCAACAGCTGACTCTTTTTATCCAATGTTCCAGCAAACTGACTCATTCCCTAACTGTCCCACTGTGAGAGCACTATGCTGGTGCTAACCAAGCAGTTCTAGCAGCTTCCCTGTAAACAGTTACCTGCTTCATCCTGGTTCTGTTCACCTGTGGTCATTTCCTAAAAGAGAAAAGATAATATGTTAAGTATTTTCCCTAAACATATGGTCCTTTTCTCAAAAAGCACTACATTTTACAGGACTTTCTGTATTTTTTAGTTAACAATAATAAAACTTTTCTTAACTTGTAAATATTCGTAAAATTTCAGAAATAAGCACAGAAATAAAAGCCAAGTTCTTTGTCTTTCTCTTGATTTTACTTTTTTCTTATATGCAAATTATAACTCTAATCATATGCTATATTCATTGAATCATTCTTACTTCTCCACATTCATAATCTTTCTACCCTAGGCCAACCTACTGCCAGTTTTTATCCAATGAAAACAAGTCTGAAAACCATCAGAATTTTTTTACATTACTAGGTGACTAAACTGATGTGGCGTGATGATTAAAGCATGTTATATGTATGAACAAACCTGCCAAAATGAAACTCATAAATCTGTATAACCAATATGCACTAAAAAGGGGGGGAAAAAAGATGTGAAAGAAAAAATTAGCAAAAAACAAAACCCCAAATCCTGGCCTCTATCAGTCAATTAATATTTACTGAATGTTTTCTATCTGTCGTACACTGTGGAAACACTGGACCTGAACCCAGGGCCTTTCCACTGAGCTATATCCCTAACCCTTTTTTATTTTGAAACAAGATTTTGCTAAATTGCTAAGCTGCTCAGGCTGGGCTCAAATTTTCAATACCCCTGCCTCAGCCTCCCAGAGTGCTAGGATTGCAAACATGTGCCAGCACAATCAGACTTAAATTGCAATGTTTTTAAAGTACAATTTTTTTTGGGGGGGTGCTGGGGAATGAACTTGGTAAAGTACAATTTTAAAATTATGAATTTCCTTGTCTCCCTTTTACCTATCTCTATTTCTTTCTCCTGTCCCGATACTGGATTAGTGTTGGCCCTTAAAAGAAAAGACAAAGGGGCAACACAGGGAGAACACCAAGTAGCAGTGAGGACAGGCTGAGGCTATGGTGCCTCAAGGTAAGAAATGACCAGGCACCCGCAGAAACACCAGAAGGCTTCTCCTTCAGGCTCCAGAAAGAACCAACACCATATCACATGCTATTTTGGACTTCTAGACTCCAGAACTGTAAGAGAATAAATACATTTCTGGGGCTTTCAGATATCCAGTCTGTGGTACTTTGTTACATCTAAGCTAGAAAACTGATATTGAAAGGCATAAACCTATCTTGATTCAGAGATGATATTAAAATACTAAGTATATAGAAAATATTAAGGAATACACTGAAAAACTCTCAGAAGTAATGAGATCAGAAAAATTGCAAGATCCAAAATTAATATACAAAAATCATAAATTTCTAAACACTTGCAAGAAGGAATCCAAAAATGAAATTAAGAAAACAACCCCTGCCAAATGTGGGGCCCATGGCTGTAATCCCAGCACTGTGAGGGCCTGAAGCAGGAGGATCACAAGTCTGAGCCCAGCCTGGGCAAGTAAGTGATTTAGCAAGACCTTGTTTCAAATTTTAAAAGTTTTTAAAAAGGATTGGGAATGTGGATCAGTGCAAAGGCCCTGTGTTCAATCCCCAATACTAAAGGAAGGCATTAAAAATGAGTGGGTTTGTTACTTGCAGAAACTAATAATCCTAGATGGATGTCAAGATGGGACTGCTTTCATTTACTAATTCTGAAAACCTGTACTTCATGTTCTAGAGATTTGTGACGGGCTTTACTCCAATACTCTGGCACTGACAGAGAAGTCCTATAGGAAACACAAATCAGAGACTTTCACGATTATGAGTCTCAACATTAATAGGAGGTGACAATGTCCTCCAAACCTATCTACAGAGGCAATGCAATCATAATTAGAATTCCTGCTGATTTCTTTGTAGACACTGACAAGTCAATTTTAAATTCATACTGAACTGAAAATTACCTACATTAGCCAAAATAATCCAGAAAACAACAAAGTAGGAGAAATCACATTTCCCAATCCTAAAACTTATTACAATACAACAATAATCAATACATCATCACCAGTATAAGGGCAAACATATAGATCAATGAAAAAGAATAGTCCAGAAATCAACCCATACATCCGTGCTCAACTGATTTTTGAAGAGTGCCAATACTATTTAATGGGATCTTTTCAAATTAAGTTTAGCAGGGCATGGTGCATGTCTGTAATTCCACTACTCGGGGAGGCTGAGGCAAGGAGAATTAAATTCAAGTCTTGCCCAGACAACTTACCAAAACCCTGTCTCAAAAAATAAAGGGGTTGGGCCAGGGATTTAGCTCACTGGTGCCGCCGCCTGCCCTGCAGGCCCAGGGACCTTTATTTTATATTTTACCAAAAATAAAATAAAATAAAGGGGCTAGGACTGTAGATCAACGTGGAAGTCTTGCTTTCAATTCCAGTACCACCAAAACAAGGTTGGATAATGAGGTTACCAGACCATATGAAAAATTAACTCCAACTTGGAGTGGTAGTAACACACCTGTATTTCTAGCACTACAGAGGCTGAGGCAGGAGGATCGCTGAGAGTTCAAGACCAGCTTGGGCTACATAGTGAGTTCAAGGCCAGCCTGAACTACATAACAAGACACTGTCTCAAAAAAACAAAAAAACAAAAGAAACAAAAACTAAACCCTACAAATAGATCAAAGACTTAAATGGAAAAGAAAAATTATAAAGCTCTTAAAAAAAAATAAGAGTAAAACTTCAGATCCCTGAATTTGGCAAAGGAGTTTTAGATAATACCAAATACAATGTGTTGGGCAAGGTGGCACAGGGCTGTAATCCCACGCAGGAGGCTGAGGCAGAAGGATTGCTGTGAGTGAAGACAGCCTGGGCTACATAGTGAGTTCAAGGCCAGCCTGAACTGCATAGCAAGACCCTATCTCAAAAAACAAAACACACACACACACACAAATATGAATGAATGAATGAATGAATGAATAAGAAAAAAACCAAGGGGCCAGGGATTTAGCTCAGTGGTGCCTGAGTGCCTGCCTGGCAGTCCTGAGTTCGATCCCCAATACCAAAAAAAACCAAACAAAAAACCCAAAAGCAAAAGCAACTAAAGAAAAACTGAATAAAATGGACCATTATCAAAATTAACAATGTTTGTGTTTTAAAGGAAACCATCACGCACACAAAAAGATAACCCAAAGAATAGAAGAAAATACAGTATCTATAAATTACGTACCTGATAAGGGACTTATATCTAGACTATATAAAGAATTCTTACAATTCAATAAAGAGACAAATGGCCCAGTTAAAAAATGAGCAAAACATCGAGGTGGATATTTCTCCAAAAATCATGGCCAATAAGCACATGAAAGAACTCAACATCATTAATCATCAGGAAAATGCAAATTAAAACCATAATGAGACATGACTTCATCCCAAATAGAACAGATAGCTAGATCCAAAATAGCACATAGCAAGTGTCGACAAAGGTGTGGGACATAGGACTCTCACGCACTGCTGGGAATGTAAAATGGTAGAGCTGCTCTGGAAAATAGTTTGGCAGTTTCTTTAATGAGTAAACACAAACCTACCATCTTACCTAACAATTATACTCTTAGGAATGTATCCAAGAGAAATGAAAATGTGTTCTCACAAATGGTTATACGGGTATGTTTATAACACACAAAAGATGAAAACCCAAATGTTCATGAATAGATGAATGAACAAAATGCTGTAAATTATTTGGCTACAAAAAGTAATGAAGTACTAAAATATGGATAAACACTAAAGATATTAAGAAGTCACACAAAACACTGTATTTTATTATTCCTTTTCCATGAAATAAATGTCCAGCAAATCTACAGACAAAAGTAACTGGTTCCCTAGGCCTGGGGAGATCTTGGAGGGAAATGTGGAGTGACTGAAAATGCCCATGGGTTTCTTTGTTTCTTTCTTTTGCAGTACTGGGGAATGAACTAAGCTACATTTATTTTTTTAAATTTGGAGAGAGTCTTGCTAAATTGCCCAGGATAGACTCAAACTTGTGATCCTCATGCCTCAGTCTCCTAAGCAGCTGGGACTTCAGGTCCACCACCAAGCCTGGCAGGAATTTCTTTCTGAGGTGACGAGTGTTCTAAAATTGACTGGTGATGCTTGCAAAACTCTACATATATTAAAAATCACTCAATTTTACACTTTAAATGGGTCAATTATATTGTGTCTAAATTGTATTTCAATAGAAGTGTTTGTAAAAAGTTATGATTCTAAGTCTTCACACTAAATATGAAAGAGCATCAAACAAAATAAAATTAACTGGACTGGGGATTTAGCTCAGTAGTTCTGCCACCTGCCTAACAAGCGCAAGGTCCCAAGTTCGATCCCCAGTACCAACAAAAAAAAAAAAGAAGAAATTAAATATATTTTGAGTAATATACATTATATAGATTTAATGTAATAGAATTCTGGTGTAAAGGTCTATGGGGATAGTAAGAGCTCTACACACACGGTATAAAAATTAATGGGGATAGAGCTCTAAACACACACACACACACACACACACACACACACACATCAATGCTTTCACGTCAAACTAAAATCCATTATTCACAAGTTTTTATTATTTATGCTAACATGTCCCACATAAGAGAAATTAGCTAAGAACTGTCTGTAAACTAAAGCCATCAAAATCACCCTCTAGTCTTTTGAAAATAAAGATTAAGGTCCCGAGTTTGATCCCTGATACCAAAAAAAAAGAAAATAAAGATTAAAATGGATACTTACAAATGACATATTCAAATTATTTTCTTGCTCTAGTTTCTGAATAGTCTCATCTGTGTTTGAGAGCAGATGTTCAACAACAGTTACACATCCTACATCTGCAACATTCACAGTTATTTCAAGCTGTCAAAATAAAATTTTATTATTTTATTTTGGCAATGCTAGAAACAGTAAGACAAAACTTCATTTTTCACATTGAGTAAAATGAAATGTTAAATGTAAAAAATAATCTGTGGAAAATTAGAAAACTGAAATGTAGTACTTAAACTAAATTACAGTAACTCAGCAAAAGTAAAACATATAAAGTTCCTGAGGGGTCTGCACCTATTATAAACAATACTCAAACTTTCTAAGGTTAATCTTCATAGGGCCTGGCATTTCATTTCTAATTCTCACTTTGTCCCCATTTTGCCTTAATTTATTTCTTTCTGTTATCATTTATGAAGTACTCCCTACAAACTAGAAGAATATGGATATAGGGATGCAAAGTTAAATAAGGCATTTTTGGCCCCTGACTTCAGTGAAATTGCAATATAAGAGAAATATACATACTAACCAAACTATTAACTGGCATAAATGGTATAACAGAGGTGAGTTAAAGTACCTAAAAAGATTTATCCCAATGGAGCATGGTGGCACACATCTGTAATCCCAGCACTCTGGTAAGGCTGAGGTAGGAGGATCACAAGTTCAAGCCCAGCATGGGCAACTTCGTTAGACCTTGTCTCAAAACAAAAGTTAAAAAAAAATAAAAAGAGCAAGGAATCTGGCTCAGAGGGAAGGCTCCAGGTTTAATTCCCAGTACTGATGGGGAGGACAGAATCATCCTATCACCCCCTACTGCAAACATCCTCTCCCATATCCCCACAGCTGACATGAGTTTTGTTTTGTTTTTTGAGACAGGTTCTCCCTACATAGTTCAGACTGGCCTTAAACTCACTATGGAACCCAGGATGGCCTTGAACTCACAGATATCCTCCTACCTCAGCCTCCCCAGTGCTGGGATTATAAGCATGCTCCACCATGCCAGCTACATGATTCTTGATACCCATGGAAATGGGTTCACTCACACTCTTCATTTGGCAGCCCTGCAAGTCAAAGAACCCTACATTCAGGGAACCAAAAATATATTGATTTACATCCTAGAATATATACAATGAAATATGTTCTTATTCCCTTACTAACAGAAAGAGGAGTAAAAAAAGTTGCCTGATTCAGTATAAATTGTGAGTAATAAACCAAGTCTGAAAATATGTCCCAAATTGCTGGGGATGTAGTTCACTGGCAGAGCGCTTGCCTAGGATGTGCAAGGTCCTGGATTTGATCCCTAGAACTGTAAAAAAAAAAAAAGATACATACTATTGTAGTAACACTTAAGTGTTCTGTGTTTCTTCAGATTTGAAAAATGTTTGCAAATATTCAATAGGCATGTTGGGTGTGGTGGCACACACCTACAATTGCTGCACTTGGGAGGCAGGAGGATTGCAAGTTCAAGCCTAGCCAGGGCAACTTAACATATTAGCAAGACTCTTGTCTAAAATTTAAAAAGGGGTGGGAATGTAGCTCATTGTGAAGGTCCTGGGTTCAATGCTCAATACTGAGAAGAAAGAAAAAAGGAACAGATTAAGCATCTTCCAGATTCAAGTGTTAGCCTATTTTTATCATTATCTTTATTCTAATTCTCTTGATGAGCCTGGGCTACAAGGACTGGGTAATCACAGGCCTACTTCTGCTCATTCCTAAAGTGAGGCCCCAAACAACTTATGATTGCCAGCAATTACTAGAGAATGAACTTTTCAAATCCTAATAATCACTAAGAAAAAAAATGATCCATTAAAAAAGAAAAGGAGGGAAAAAACAAGTACAATAAAGTGCCAAGTATTTAACAAAAACCAACTACCTCTTCCATCGTTTCCTCAATCTGAGCAGAAACAGGTTCAGGGGATCTGAGACCAAGAGGGACAAACACTGGTGCTTTGTTTACTTCTTCTGGGGCAAGATGGCAGCTCTCATCTTCATAGTTGGATTCAAAGTCCTGAGCATCATCGTCATCATCTTCTTCCTGGGAAGCCCGAAGAGTCACCAGCATGGCCTTGGGAGCCCGAGGCTCCTTCCTAGAGGTCTTAGCCCGAGCTCGCTTTGTTCCCCGCCCTCTGGTGACACTGGTTTTGATTTTCCTCTGCATTCTCCTTTCACTGTGATCTATCTCACTCCCAGAGGCAGAAGAGATCATTGTTCTTCCATCCAGAGCAGTTTTAGAGTAATATGATTCTTTCAACAGTTGTGGACTGCTAGATGTTTAATCAAAATAATAATATGGTCATATATGCACCAGGATAATTTAAATGAAAATCAAACTATTACAGTAAAATCTTAGTTCTAGCCATTAAAATGAATACACCATCACCACCTAGTCTTTTAAAAAATTTAGGCTGTGAAAGTTAGAAAGGAATTAAGTAGTATTTAGTTTCTCATACAGAGTTAATTCTTAATTTTCTATAAAGTTTACATAGTACATTTTTAATTCTGGGCTTTTTCCCATAATATGGTAGCAGAGATGAGATAAACACAAAACTCCAAGTTATTAAAGAAAAAAATAAAATATATGGAACCAATAAGTACAGAATATGGGATTAAAAAAAGTAAAACTGATTTATCTAACTGATAAACAGATTAGGCTGAAAGAAAAAGGGAGAAGTAGAAACTCAATCAGATCAATGCTGGTGGGTTATTTATTTTACTTGTTATTTTGTTTTATGGTGATGAGAATCAAACCCAGGGCCTCACACATGCCAGGCAAGCATGCTACAACTGAGTTACACCCCCAGGCCACAGTGGTTTTTTAGAGCTCAGATTCCTTCCCACTTTGTTTGAAAAGTATGAAAGAAGGGTAACTTTCATTTGTGTTTGTAATTCCATTCAAACTAGCACTCTAATTACTTAGGTAACACATACTACCCTTTGGTTAGGCTTCTGCTCACGTCTAATAGATTCAATACCCAGAAATTTTCAACCTGGAAAAGAAAAATCTTACAAAGAAAACCAGGAAAAGTGTAAATTACAGTAAATAAACACCAATATTAGAAAAGAAATGTTAAAAAAAAAATCTTCACTTATGTTCACAAGCCCATCTTTTGTATTCACAATATCAGTAAGTAAAAATAGGACACCTATAAAAAATAAGTGACTTTTATTTCCTGTTCTTGGTATTTGTTAAATGTTACCTTGTTAGTTTACTGAAACACTGCTCTTCAACAACTGAAGACGCAGAATTATCTTGCACAGTTTCCTCTCTAACATTTTCCGATGATCCAACCTCTTCTAATTGAACATTTTTTTTGGCCAAAACAGACTCTTCAGAACCTATACAATCTTTTCTTGCTGAAATCCCTGGAGATGTCACAATTTCAGCTTCTTCCTTAAATATAAGATGAAACAGCAAATATTACCATGGAAACAATGTCTATGTTAATGTGGTTTAGCATTTGGTCTAACTCTGTGCTTATACATATACACAAGTGGTAAGTTTCTCAATTCATGAAAATTGGGCTGGGGCTGTAGCTCAGCAATAGCTCAGCTAGCTCTGGATGTCTAATGTCCTGGGTTCAATCCTCAGAACCACAAAAAAAAGGACTAAATTTTGCACGAAAACAGTTACAACGTTCTCCTGCACTTTAGCAATATTCAATATGTAAAATACAATCAAACTTCATTTTAGTAATGTTCTCATTCTCCTTCATGATCCTAACAAAACAGAGCTCACTAACAACAAAAAAAATTTTTCCAAACTTACTTTTAGAAGGAGCTGGGAGTCAAGATTTCCTTGGTGCAGTGAATCTTCTTCTGGTTTACTTGCTCCACTCTGATCTGCTGGGCCTTTTTCTATACCCGCTTCCTCTACCTTCCTACTGCATGCTCTTCCCAAATCTGGCTTAGTTTTTTGGAATTTCATTCTTATCAACTGTGCTGGACTAGGAACACAGGGCTTATTTTCAAATCTAGAATGAAGTGCAAATTATGTTGAAGAACAAAATCAGAATTCTTTGCTGATTTAACAGCTGTTAAATCAAACAGTTTTAGATACAAACCAATTCTAAGTTCAAAGGACTATATATATAAATGGGCAATAAGGCTAAGCATGTACAATGAAACCCTACGTTGCTGATATGAAAGGAAGAACATAAAAGCTTTTATAGCCTCCACTTTCTAGATAGCCCAGGCAGTAATTTTATAATAATGTTAATCTTTTTTCAGGCCAGGGATTTAGCTCAGTGGTTCTGCCGCCTGCCTCGAAAGCACAAGGTCCCGAGTTCAATCCCCGGTACCAAAAATAAATAAATAATAAAATTTAAAAAAAAAAAGATTAACATTAATCTTTTTTCTTTACTTTCATTCATCAATTCTGATGTGTGGTTTCATGCTACTTATTTCCATAGAAATAACTAAATGCCAGGAGCTGAAGATGGATTTCATATGGCACTTTAAATAAACACCTTTAATTGGGCTCCAAAGCACACAGAAATATACAATGGTCATAACCACTTGGTCTTTCTGCTAAAGAGTCGCTTGAGGAGAAAAAGTCTATTTTACCACATGCCTGAAAGCTCACAGTACAAGTCAGGCTCTGGGTTACAACAACACACACACACACACACAAAACTTCACCGAAAAATTTACGGTATAACTAATCTGTATCTGCCAAATCAGACAAAGACAAGGCTTTAACAAGGTTCCCAGAGCAAATCAAGTAGCCACCTTAAGATTTCCTGGAAATATAATATTTTATTTGTGGAGGTCTTGTTAAGACCTTTCTTTGGTGGTTTTTTTTTTTGGTACCGGGGATCGAACTCCAGAACTTGCACTTGCAAGGCAGGCGCCCAAAACCGCTGAGCTAAATCCCTAGCCCCTAGAAATACAATATTTTAATAACAAGGACCTGAATGAGGAAGTTTAAATAATATAAAGCTGGATACTATATTTGAGTTCTCTGGAAGATCTGTATTAAGAATTAATCCTAAGAATATTTCTAAATAAAACACCTAGAAAAGAAAGTAATTAGCACATTTCCAAATGTACCAACTAAGCTCAACTAGTAGCACCAAGGCAGCACACAGCAAGTTCCAAAGCAGTTAGGACGCTGGAAAATACATTCCCATGCAGGCTAATGTACTGGGAAAACAAGTTATCCTGAACTGAAGTATGAGCTGTCAAGTGTGATTCCGCAGAGATATTTTGAGTAAAACACATACTTAGACCCAATGTGCTAGGAGGTCAAAAAAAAAAAAAGACAAGCCGGGGATTTAAAAAGCTCAGTGGTTTTGCCGCCTGCTGCACAAGTGCAAGGACCAGAGTCCAATCCCTGGTACCAAAAAAAAAAGACAACAAATGTTGGACATAAAGTTAAGCTAATTTTAAAACTAGACGAGATAGCTCAGTCACAACAAAGCTAACAGAATAAACTTTAAGATCTAGAAATAGTTAAGGGGTGGGGGAGTGCTGAATTTCCATACAGGAAGTTTAATAGAATTCTCTCTCAAAAAAAGAACTCTCAGGGCTGGGGATTTAGCTCAGTGGTTTCGGTGCCTGCTATGCAAGTGCAAGGACCGGAGTTCGATCCCCGGTACCAAAAAAAAAAAACACAACAACTCTCTCATTAAAAAATACAAAGGCTGGGCTGGGGATTTAGCTCAGTGGTTCTGCTGCCTGCCTTGCAAACGAAAGGACCCGAATTCGATCCCCAGTACCAAAAAAAAAAAAAAAACGCTATGTGTTTAACAATTTGAAACATGAAAAGCTTCATTCAGGAAATACTGCTTATACACTATGGGAATTTGCTACTTGAAAGTCACAAATGTCTGAAAGCTTAAGTTTAACACTAAATTGATGCTGTAACCTTGAGTAAGTCATTTAAATCGTCCAGGACAACTGTAACAGAGACAAAAGGCCAGATTCCCTACAGAACCCTCTAACAGTCTCCCCTTCTCCGCCCTCGGCCTTCAGCTCTTACTCATTCCTAATCCTCCTTTCACTCCCAAGGCCAGCCTCTGTGAGGCTTCTTATATGCACCACATGCTTCCCAAGTTTCCACATGGCTCCTTCCCTTCCTTAGATGTCCCTGTGACTTGCCCCTCACTTCTCTTTGGTCTTCTCTCCAGCAGTGCTCCCTCCTGCTCACATTATTTTTCTCTAATTTATTACTTATTTACTCAGCTTATTTTTCTTGCTTATAACGTGTATTCCCAATTCAAATATAACATTCATAATGACAGGAATTTCTGATTTGTGAGTCCTATGTTACCAGCACTGAGAACAATGCCCACCACACAGGGGGTAACAATGTTTGTGGAATGAATGAATGAATAAGGTTCTTTTCAATAGCATTATAGAATTGCTCAATTCTATAATTTTTCAACTCTATAATTTGGTCTGTAAAACCAAAAGAGGATTAAATTATACTCAGAAAAAAAATTCACAATTAGTACTTAGGAGTAGCCAGTCAGGTATGGTGTCACACAATGGTAATCCCAGCACTATGGGCAGCTGAGGCAGGAAGATCACAAGTTCTAGCCCATCCTGGGCAACTTAGTAAGATCCTGTCTCAACATAAAATAAAAAAGGCTGAGACGTACCTCAGTAGTATAGCAACCCTGGGTTTGATTCCCAGTATCACAAAAAAGAAAAGCAGAAAGTATTCTACAAAGATACAAAGATAATACAGCAAATTAAATGAGTCAAGAACTATATCCAGTAAAAGCCAGGTGTGGTGGCACATGCCTATAATTCTAGCACTTGGGGTAGGCTAAGGCAGGAGGTTTGCCCCAGGTTTAAGGCCAGTCTGGGTTGCATAGTGAGTTCAAGGCCACTTTGAATTACATAGCAAGACTCTGTCTTACAAAAAAAAAATTATATCCACAAAGAAAATGTATTTTTACTATAGAGCCAATACATCCTGCTTTAATATCAATAATTAAGCAGATTACAATAAATAAAAGCATTAATGCAAAAATTTCTTTCTACTAGCACGTTGTTTAAAAGATAGCATTCTTACCATTTGGCTTGGATGTACAGTATATAGTAAGTACTTCACAGCACATCCTATTCATAAATTTTAGTCAGTAGGTTCTATATTTCTAAAGATAGAAAGAATTTAAATTTTACCTTTAATACCAAAAATAAGAATGCTTGACAAAATTTCAGAAAAATTACAAATTAAGAGAACATCAAGCTGGGCATGGTGGTACACACCTGTAACACCAGCATTCTGAGAAGCTGAGGCAGGAGGATCACAATTTAAAGCCCAGCCTAGGCAAGTCTGCAACTTAGGGAGATCTTGTTTTAAGTAAGAAATTAACAAAGGGCTTGGGGATGTAGCACAGTGCTAAGGCCTAGGTTCAATCCCCAGTAGCACAAAAAAAGGGAGACAAAGAGGAAGAGAGAGGGAGAAGGAAAAAGAGAGGCATACACAGACAGAGACAAAGAGAATCAGGCATGCAAGTCTTACAGTAATTGGAGTAGACTGAAAATTAGTTCTGGCAGGCCTGGTGGGCCACATCTGTAATCCCAGCACTGGCAAGGATGAAGCAGGAGGACAACAGAAAGTCTGAGGCCAGCCTGGGCTACACAGTGAGTTCAAGGCCAGCTATAATATACACTGCCTCAAAAAAAAAAAAAAAACCCTAACAAGTAACTAATTATTATTTCATCCTTTCATAAAATTTTAAGGATGTGAAGTTTTTATAAAATCAATTATGCAAAAATCTATCATTATTTTTGAAACGTTTCATGCTTTTCTCATTAAAAGCAAACTCACCTCATCTTTGCATCGGATGTATTTTTTTTGTTAACGTGTAGATTTCCTACAAGAACCTCGTGACTCTGATTTTCATCCATATTGCATTCTGAAACTCTGGAGGATACGACTTCAATTTCAGTTTCAATTTGAGAATTTGACTAAAACGACAAAAATCACATTATGACTTTTTTTAAAAAAAGCAAAACATACCTCCTAAAATATTTCAATCACTAAAAGGGTATTTATATTTAGCTTTTGTTTTCTGGTGCTGAAGGCTGAACCTCAGGCAGGCCTTACACATGCTAGACATGTGTTTAAGCACTGAAGTATATCCCCAGCCCAGATAGTTTATTAAAATTAAGATTCAGCGTGTATGGTGGCTCATGCCTGTAATCCCAGCACTTGCGAGGCTGAGGCAGGATGATCACCTGAGTTCAAGGCCAGCCTGAGCTATATAGTCAGTTCAAGGCTATCCTGGAACACAGTGAGATCTTGTCTCAAAAAAAAAAAAAAAAAGAAAATTAAAAATAAAATTAAGATTCAAACAAGGGCTAAGAGCAGTGGTGCAGCCTGTAATCATAGCTACTGGAGAAGCTAAGAGGATCATCAATTCAAGGTCACCCTGGACAACTTCCAAACAATAAATAGATAGATAGATAGATTCAAACTAGGAAATTCAAGTCAGGTCCCTGGTGGTCTAGTGGCTAGGATTCAAACTAGGAAATTCAAACTAGGAATTGCCTAGTTCAGAGTTGCGATGATTATCACAGTAATATGTTTATATAATGTTTTAAAAGTTACAACAAGAGCTTTCTGTTGTAAAACCAAAAATTTTAAAAGTCTGGGCTCTACGATAAAGAAATCATCTAGTATATAAATAAAAATAAATAAATAAATAAATAAACAAACAATACTGGGTGTGGTGATGCACACATGTAATCTCGGTATTCAGGAGGCAAAGGAAGAAGGATGCTGCAGGTTCAAAGCCAATATGGGCTACCAAATGAGTTCAAGGCCAGCCTGAACTACATAGCAAGACCTTGTCTCAAAAAACAAACAAGATACTACATTCAATCTCTTTCGACACAAAACAAAAAAGATACAAAGGGTTTTTAGTGGTTATCTCAGGGTAGTGAGATTTGGATCATTTACTGTATTCTTTTGTACTGATAAATGTTTCATAATGAATAATGTCACTAGTAGAAAAAATTTCTCTTTTCACTTAAAAAAAAAAAATCGAAGGCTCTTTTTCTTTCTCTTTGCACTCAAGTCCATTTTCCCTTTACCTTCTTTCTCTGTGTTCCTGCTACCAACCCCTTCAATAAATGTAGCCACTTGCTACATACTATAAGGTAGAAAAAAAATCCAGGGCTGGGATGTATTTCAGTGGTAAGGCACTTAGCTAGCATGCACAAGGACTTAGGTTCAATCCCTAATACCACAAAAAATAGTAAGTCTGAAACAAAATTGGAATAACTATGTATTCCTCAGGAGAAGAATGTTAGATTACACTATTCTAAATCAAGTCCAAGCCATCACTTGCTATTTTATTATGCACTAAAATGTTCAATTTAGTTACACAATAACTCACCACTATCAGGGATTTCTTGTTAGTTTCATCTTTTTGTAGCACTGTTCTTTCATTTTTATTCATTCCTTTGGCTTCACCCTTTTCTACTACTTGCCTATGTCTAGCATTTTTTACATTTGGTTTGGGCCTCTGAAGTCGGGCCCTCATTGGTAGAACCATTTGGGTAACAGTTTCTTTCATTTCTTGTTGGAAAGTATTTACCTTCTGAATCCTAGAAAAGGGGACAGAAAGAAAGACAAAGAGTCTGACTGTAAAATGTTGAAAATTACTGCAAAAAAATACAATCTGAATCTTCTCTATGAAAATATTTTTTCTTACCATAGTAAACTTATACAACATATCTAGAATAGCCAAATTTATAAATAGAACGGTGGTTATGAGGAACTAGAACAGGATAATGAGAACTAAGGTTTAGGGGGAACAGGAGTTTCAGTTCGTGAAAATAAAAAAGTTCTGGAGATGGACAGTGGTGATGACCACACAATGTGAATATACTTAATGCCACCAAGCAGTATGTGTAAAAATGGTTGAAATGATAAATTGTGTTGTATACATTTTACAAATATTTTAAAAGGTAAGGATTTATAATATATGTAAATATACTATTAAGTGAACTGCTTTGTATAAAATCTTTAGTAGCTAATTAACAGCCAGCAGGAAGCTTTAAAGTTTTGAATTCCATCTGATTTTCTATTTCAGGTGGTCTGCCATATCAATAAAAATAAACCAAGTATTCTTTATAGTCACTTTGAAATACATTAACACATTTTAATAAAAATAAATATCTAAATGAAATGTCTCTCTTATTTTAGATTTAAGTAAATATCACTGTTTACACCATGGGAACAGCTAAGTCATTTTCCTGGGTCTGCACTGACTGAGAATGCTCTGCAGGTTCACAAGCACTCGGCGCTGGGTCCTTTTCAGTTTGTATACATGGTAATATCACAGTCTCCTCTTTCTTGGGGCCTGATTTATCTTTTTCTCTTGATACCAATATGGAAGTCACATCCTAGAAAGCAGAAACAGAAAATTTTTACCCAGGGTTGGTAAAAGTATAGGCAAATTAAAACTCTCATATACTATTAGAATAAATTAATATAGTCATTGTAGAAGGCAACAGTAATTTATCAAAATTTTTAATAAAATTAAGAAGTACCTAAAGTACATGTACAAAAATATTTATTATAGCAATCCAATACCCTCCTCCAAAGCTGGAATGTAGCTAAGTGGTAGAATATTTGCCTAAATGCCAAAATAAGAAAGCACTACTAAATAAGTAGCACTATTAAATAAGTATTTTTTAAAAGAGGCAACCCCTCCAAAGAAAAGGTAAATGTTTTATTGTTTATACCCTAGAAATAAGACTAATCTGTGACCAGGAGATTAAACAACTAAACTTTAATTTCTTTAAAACACCAATTAAAAGATAAATTGCTGTGCACTGATTCTAAACAGGTAAAATATGGAAACAGCCCAATTGTTCATCAGCTGGAGACTGGATAATGAAGATGTGGTTTTTTTATAAAATAGAATACTACTCAGCCATAAAAAAAGAGAAACTACAGACATTTATAGCTAAGTGGATGCACATTGAGGCGATACTCTCAAGTGAAATAAATAGGACAGACGTGTAACTACCGAATAGTTTCTCTGATGTGAAAAACTAAAAGTGTAAATAAGGATTAAAATGTATAATTGAGGGCCAGAGATTTAGCTCAGTGGTTCTGGTGCCTGCCTCAAAAGCACAAGGTCCCGAGTTCGATCCCCGGTACCAAAAAAAAAAAAAAAAAAAAGTATAATTGATATTGTGAAATAGGAAGAAAAGGTCTAAAGGAATAGGGGAAGTGGGAGGGGTAGAGGAAAGGAAAGAAGGGAAAAGAAAAAATATGAGAAAAGGAAAAACATGGAAACAAAGTCTTTGTAAATAGGGAAGGGTGGAGGGGGTGAAGGGAGGGCAGGGGAATGGGGAAAAAATAAGAACCAAGATACATCATGTAAAGGCACAAGATCCCAATGATGAATGTAACTGTATTGTATACCTAAAATGTACCAATAACCTTAATGGGGGAAAAAAAAACAGGTACAGTATTTTCAGGCCAGTGATGTAGCTCAGTAGTGCAGTGCCTGCCTGGCAAGCACAAGGCCCTGAGTTCAATCCCCAGTACCAAAAAAAAAAAAAAAAAAAGAACTAAGCAATTCTAAGATGCCAAATTACAATTATAATTCTTTTTGTTGTTGTCTTTCCTTGATTTGTTGGTTGTTTTAAATTTTTTTTTGTACCGGGGATCGAACTCGTGTCATTGCACTTGCGCAGCAGGCAGAGAAACCACTGAGCTATATCCCGGCCCGGCCCTTGATTTGTTGAAGATGGGGTCTTATTAAGTTTCTCAAGCTGGCCTCAAACTCTGGTTCCTCCCATTATAGTCTCCCAAATGCTGGGAAAACAGGCATGTGCCACAACCCCAGGTAAGAATTTTAATTCTAAAATGTACTTTATGTGTGTAAAATATTCAATTTATGAGTGTTATTCATTTCAAAGCTTTTGATGCTATATCAAACAATCTTAATCTATCATGAGCTAAATTTAAAAGTAAATAAAAGCCGAGTATGGTAGGGCACACCTGTAATCCCAGCACTTAGGAGGCTGAAGCAGGAGGACCACCGTGCGTTCAAGACCAGCCTGAACTACACAGAGGCCCTGTCTCAAAAAACAAAACAAAACAAAAAGTAAACAAAATACCAAATTTAACTATCAAGCTTTTTTTTTTTGGTACTGGGGATCGAACTTAGGACCCTGTGCTTTCCAGGCAGGCAGTAGCACCACTGAGCTAAATCCCCCGCCCTTCTATCAAGCTTTTAACATCTCATCTTCATAGCAAGGTAAAATAAAGGACTGTGGTTCCCATTTGTCCTCTACAGAAACTTGCATTATTTGGTTATGGTCACAAAGGCTGAACCTCAGTTAGAGCCGAGGCCTCCTGGACACCTCCTCATGTCACACCTGGCCCTTATCAGATACTGCTGAAGGACCCTACTTAGCAAAACAGACTCCATATTGCTGCTTGACCCACCTGTCTGCCCTTTAGATGAACTCAGAAGGAGGAAGCTTAAGAAACCTCCTCCCCTTAGAAAGTCTCTTTAGAAACAACAATTAATCAACTATTGTTTTACAAATGTTCTCATGGCAAGATGTTCCACTTCTGTACCTTTCTCTTGCTTTGCTAGTTCTATCCCATAAGGGGGCCTAGAAACTGTTGACCTCAAAGGTGTATAAAATATGTTTGTCAGCCAGTTGTGGTGGCACACGCCTGTAATCCCAGCACTCGGGAGGCTGAGGCAGGAGGATCACTATGAGTTCGAGGCCAGCCTGGGTTATATAGTGAGTTCAGGGCCAGCCTGAACTACAAAGGGAGACCCTGCCTCGAAAAACCAAAAAAAAATTAAAAAAATAAAACATGTTTGTCTCCCCCTAGTCGGGGCTCAAGTCTGATGTTCAGCTCGGTCCCAGCTGGTAATAAACTCCTGTGTGGATTTAATATCGGTCTCTGGTTGGTTCTTTCTCGCTGGGTCTAACACTGTAGCTTCTTCCACAGACTACGTGGAACAGTGAGGCACATTAGGCATGAGAACAGTATCACACTATCAGAAATTATACCAAGAATTTTGTGAAAGTTTAATGACCACAGTAACCAATGCCCCCCCAAGCCTTCATCTTAATCACTCACAGGTTGTAAAGGAAGAGTATTAGCTTGTTCTCTGTCTTGTTGAATCTCAATGGTTTCCATGTGATTTGTTTCCAACTTCTTCTCAGGTACATATTTTTCTGCTTCTGTAGTCACTTTCTTTGAAGTTGCTCTTGCTAAGTTTGGTTTTGGTCTTTTGAATCGACTTCTCACAAAAGGTGCTGGTTTCACTTCAAGTGGCTTCTGTTCTTGAGGAAGAGATTGGCTTTTGGAACAAGGATTATCAAACTTTTAGAATGGACTGAAGGGGCAACAGGAGTGGAGTCTTAGGATAACCTTAGAGACTAACAGTAAATATTTACTCCTAATTTTTTTTCTTTTTCATTTTTTTTAGACAGGGTCTCACTGTGTAGTCCAGGCTAGCCTTGAACCCACTATGTAACCCAGGCTGGCCTTGACTATGAAGCAATCCTCCTGCCTCAGCCTCCCAAGTGCTGGATTATAGGCATGCACCACTACACCCAGCAATCCTAATTCTTCACAGGAAAAGAAATGAAACTGTTTGATAGACCCTGAAACATGAGGGTACAGCTGAGGTATGCACCTCAGGAACCACATCATCTTTCACAGAGCAAACAATGGTTGTCAAGCCCATGTTGACTCAGGAGTGTGTACTACACACAGCTTTATATGTGTGTCATTCAGAACAGTTTCAATCCTCTACTACCTGAAAGTCTCAAACACTCTCTTGTATATCTTATGCCTTGAAATCTCACTTAGTATAACATGACATCAAATACAACTTTCTTTTTTTTCTTAATGGTGGCAATGTTTCACACTTGCTGAAGGCAGGGAAAAAAATCTAGAAGGGTAGGGGAAGAAAGGATTCTGCAGAGTGAGTTTGGGCCAAGGAAAAAATAATACACCCTACACCATAGGGTAGGCTACTGTGAACAGGCACAACAGCAAATACAGCTTCTGTGGTTTTTCTTTAAAAGCACAGAACTCCAAGGCATGGTGGTGCATGCCTGTAATCCCAACACTCTGGGAGGCTGAGGCAAGAGCCTGAGCAACTTAGCAACTTAGCGACTTAGTGACACCCTGTCTGAAAATGAAAAATAGAAAGGGATGTGGGTGTAGTTTAGCGTGAAGGCCTTGCATTCAATCCCAAGTACCTCAGAGAAGAAAAAAAAAAAAAAAAAGCACACAGACCTATATACTTATACCTTAAATTAGTATCTGAAAAGTGCTCGGAAACATCTGGAGGTTGTATCCCCTGGTCTTCTGTTTTATAAAATTCAGATATCTGTGAAGCAGGCTTTGAACAACTTAAGTGATCTGACAGTTCTTTTTCAGAATTATTTTCTTCTATAGATGTAGGCACCACCGGCTGTACCTCACTGACAATATTCTGGAGAAATAGTGACAGTAAACCAGCATATACGGAAGATTCCATAAGCATTTCACACATTTCAAACAGAAGCTTACTGTTCTATACACGTTCTCTAAACATTTAGAAGTTTGTTTCTTAATTTTTAAATAAAATCTGGGCCAGGTGTGATGCTACATGCCTGGAATCCTTGCACTCACAATGCTGAGGTAGGATTATATTGAGTTCAAAGCTAGCCAAGGCTACAAACTGTTTTTAAGCACAGCTTGGATATACAGCAATACCTTGTCTCCAAAAACAAACAAACCAATAAAATTCAACTTAATACACAACTGTTAAGACCCAGAATTCACAAATCTTCCTTTTATATTGTATATCATGATTTTTCCAAACCATAAATGCCATTGCCTACCAAAAAAAGTTAGAAAAATAGTCCATGAAAATATTACAAGAGAATAAACTTTAAAAGAGGCAACTTTTAAGCACGAGATTTTTTTGTTTTATTTTGTTTTTGTTTGGCTGACTTTAGGCCTTGAACTTGGTACACAGTCCAGGCTCTGCATGGACTTGTGATTCTTCTGCCTCAGCCTCTGAGTGCTGAGATTACACAAGTGCCCCACCATGCTTGGTAAAAAGGCAATTTTTTTTTTTTTTTGGTGAGACAGAGTCTTACTATATAGTCCAGGCTGGCCTTGAAATCACTATGTAGCCAAGGCTAGCCTTGTGGCTAGCCTCCTGCCTCAGCCTCTCAAGTGCTGGGATTGCATGTATGTACCACCACACTCAACACAAAAGCAATTTTTAAAAGTGAAGAAAGTGTGTCAGAGCAGGAAATAAAGAGAAAAACATATACCTAAAAGAAATGATTCCAGTATTATGTTCATACTAAGGTCAGTAAAAATTCAGTTCAATTTTCTATACTCCTTTTATTTAAAAGAGTAACTTCAAACTTCTATTAAAAATAGTAGCTTTTGGGCCGGAGATTTAGCTCAGTGGTGCCGCCACCTACCTCACAAGTGCAAGGTCCCAAGTTTGATCCCCGGTACCAAAAACAAATAGTAGCTTTTCAGCCAGGAATGGTGGCACACATCTGTCATCCTAACATTCCAGATGGCTGAGGCAGGAGGACTGCAAGTTTGAGCCCAGTCTTGGCAATTTTGTGACTTGGCAAAACCCTGTCTCAAAAAATTTTTTAAGACTGGGAATTGGGCTGGGGATTTAGCTCAGAGGTTTCGCCACCTGCTGCACAAGCGCAAGGACCCGAGTTCAATCCCTGGTACCAAAAAAAAAAAAAAAAGGCTGGGAATGTAGCTCAATGTGAAGACACCAGTACTGGAGGAAAAAAATAAAATAGTAACCTTTCCACAATTAGAAAAATTTTGAAGTTACTCTTTAAAAAAGGATATACAGTTTCTTCCAGTTCCTAAACATAAAAATTTAGGGATGGAAAGACTTCTAGAGATTTTAAGCATTTTTGAACTTAAGGGCAATAACTATGGAATTATTGAATAGACATTTCTCAGATGAAGTACAGACAACAAATATAAAAAAATCCTCAATGTCACTAGTGATTTGGTAAATGCAAATTAAAACAACACTGAGATTCCATCTCACTCCAGAAAGAATGGCTGTCATCAAGAAATCAACCAATAACAAATGCTGGTGAGGCTGTGGGGAAAAAGAAACCCTTCTCCCTTTCTGGTGGGAGTGTATGGAAATCACTATTGACATTTCTCAAAAAACTAAAACTGGAAGTTTCATTTCACCCAGCTATTCCCTTTCTAGATGTCTTCCCCAAAAGAGTTAAAAGCATCGTGTATCACGGTGATATATGCACACCCATGTTTACAGCAGCACAATTTATAATAGCTAAATTTTGGAAACAGTCCATATCCCCATCAACAGGTAAATGGATAAAGAAAATGTGGTTTTTATATACAATGGAGTACTACTCTGCCATAAAGAAGGACAAATTTGAGTCATTTATAGGAAAATGGATGCACCTCGAGACCATAATCTTAAGTGAAATAAATCAAGACACCCAAATATCACAGTTTCTTTTGTATGAGAAACCCAAAGGGTAAATGAGGAGCATAATAGAGGAGTAGGTATTGGGACATGCTCAAATGGGAAGGGGAACAAAGGAGAGGGGAAAGGGAAGTGAAGGAAGCGAAAGGAAACAAAAATATAGAATGGAAGAATAAATAGGAAACAAAACTTTTGTAAATGGGGAGAAGAAGAAGGGTTGAAGGGAGGGGAGGGGAATGGGGGAATAAAAAGAATTAAAACACTTGTACAGGTACAAATTCCCTATGATGAATCAATGTATAACAAATATGTACTATTTTAAAAAAGATTAGAGAAGAAAATAATAATTATGGAAATATTTGGTTACTTCTGAGAAAGTGTTCACAATTTTTTAAAGGAGAGGAAAATACATACTTTCACATCCAGGGAAGGCACAATGCTGCAGTCAGCACTACTCTTCTGCATTACATCTGTCTCAATTTCTCTTGAGGTAGCAGGTTCTTCCAGGTTTTCTCTTGGAGAAATATCTATGTTTCCAGTTTTTTCCAAATCTGCCACCATTTCCTCAATAACACAAATCTGCTCAGCTTCTCTCTCCCTCAAGGAAATTTCTGTTTCAGTTTCTTTTAAATCTGCCTCTATTTCCTCAGTGACAATCGTCTTTCTTAATATTGTCTCCATCAGGGAAATGTCTTCTTTTCCAGTTTCTTTCAAGTCAATCTCCCTTTCCTCTAGAGTACTGACCCCCATTAGTACCTTCTCCCTTTGGGAAATTTCTCCTTCAATGTCTTTCAAATCTGTTTCCACTTCACCTATAGTTTTGAGCTCCTTTGGGACCTTTCCTGGGACAGGTATTTCTCTTCTTTCAGATTCTTCCAAATCTGTCCCTCTTTCCTCAGTAGGATCAATCATCTCTAGGGTCCTCTCTCCTGTGGGGTTCTCTCTTCGAGTTTCTTGCAAACCTGCTTCTGTTTCACCTATAGACTTGACCTCCCCTGGGTCATTTTCCTGTGGGAATATTTCTCTTCTGCTTTCCTTCCAATCTGTCTCTATTTCCCCAGTGGTATCAATCAATTCTGGTGTCTTCTCCCTAGGGGGACTCTCTGTCACAGTTGCTTTCAACCCTGTCTCCATTATCACAGTGACATCACTCATCTCTGCTATGTTCTCACTGGGAGAGGTGTCTCTTCTTCCAGTTTCTCTTAAATTTGACTTCATTTCCTTAGAAGTAGCAGTGATCACCACTGGTACCTTCTCCCCTGGTGAGGTGTCTGGTCTTATAAGCTCCCTCAAAGCTGCTGTCTCTCCCCCAGAGACAGGACTCTCCTCTGGTACCTCTTCCTTTGAAGGAATCTTTCTTCTTCTAATTCCTCTTACTATATTTGGCTTTGGTTTCTGAAATTGAGTTCTTAGAATGGGGACTTGTTTGAGTACATTTGCTTGACTATCCTCTTGAATGCTATTAAAAATGAAAGAAGACAAGTTCTAAATCAGACTGTCAGTTGAAAAGACGGTGGCTGAGAAATCACTATGAAAACACCAGTTTAAAACGTAAAAAAACTAAGGGGCTGAGAGTCCAGTTCAGTGGGTTCAATCCCTAGCAGGAAGGAGGCTCAGAGTAGGGGGAAGAGAAAAAGGAGAAGAAGAAAGATAGTAAGGAACTCAGGTTGGTTGGGCAAGCCTGTAATCCTCACTACTCAGGAGGCTAAGAAGTCAAGAAGATCTCAAGTTTGAGATCAGCCTAGGCACCTTAGAGACCCTGTCTCAAAATAAAATAAGCTGGGCGTGGTGGCACATGTTGTAGTCCTAGCACTGAGAAGGCTGAAGTAGAAGGACTGCTGCAGGTTAAGGCCACCCTGGGCTACAGAGTGAGTCCAAGGCCAGCCTGGACCACATAGCGAGACCCTGTCTCAAGAAACCAAAAATAAAATAAAATGGGTGAGGCTGCAGCTCAGTGGTAGAGTACTTGCCTACCAAGCACAAAGTCTTGGGTTCAATCTCTGGTACCAAAAAAACCAAAAAGGAAGCCCAGGAATCTCTGGGCAAAATTTAAAAATTAAGGAGGGGGGAAAATTAATCTTTTACAATTACAGTAAAATTGTAGAGTAATTAAATATATTTATATATAGATATATGTACATATGTCTATTAATGAGTCAATCAATGTAGCAGCTAATGGCCCTGACTGGTTCCACTGTCATCCAGAGGACCCTATGCAAACAATGGTGGGCAAAGTCTCCTGTGTGCTCACTAGTACTAGATCAAGGTGTGTCTACCAATTCTACTTCTTTGCTCCTACTTTTTTTTTGTTTGGTACTGGGAATCGAACTCCGGTACTTGCGCTTGCAAAGCAGGCGGCGAAACCACTGAGCTAAATCCCCGGCCCCACTCCTACTCTTTCCTCAAACATACACTTTGCCGTAACAGTCTTGGCCATCTCAGCCAGTCAGAGGTATGATCTGAAAAAAAAACATCATGACTAAGAACTATATCTGCATTCCACACTTTTTGGAGGGGTTTTGTTCGTTGTTTTTTTTCTTTTGAGTCAGGATCTTACTATGTAGTGCAGAATGGCCTTGAACTTACTGTGCACCTTGAGGTAGCCTCACACTGCCGATACTCCTGCCTCAGCCTCCAAATGCTGGGATTACAGGTGTGCACCACCACACCTAGCTCCACATTTATAAACCAATTTATAACAAGATTTCTCATACAAATATTTCTCTTAAGGGCTTGTGATTTCATGAAACAAAAGCAATAAAATGACATATTAAACGTAACATTTTGCTAAATGGTGTTGGGCATGCAGTCAACCGTTATCTAGAAAAAGCACCTTGCCCTCCAGAAAAATAGCAGCATTCGGTTTTATTCATTATCATGGATTAAAAAAAAGATATGAAACAAATGAAAAAGCTCTTAGTGGTTGTTTAAAAAGCTCATTAATCTTGAGCAAAAGTTAGATCAAATGAAACACTAGATTTATTCAGTCACACCAGGCTGAAGTAATACATACACATAAACACACACACACACACTGTGCATTTATGATAATAACTTTAAAAAAAGATTTACTAGGAAGTACACATGGTCTCTCTCTTGAGGGTTCATACTCTATTTTCTTGCCTCTTATTGGAGGGTCTTAAAATTTCTTTTCTGCAATGGGAGTCAGCAAACTTACTCTGTGGGGTAGGGTAGGTTTAGGGTCCCCATTTCTGCTTTAGGGACCTCTTTGGACCCTGTCTGATGACAATGTAGCAGCAAAAGAAACAATCAAAAGAAAAGCCCACTTGTAGGAGGCAGAGAATGGTTAACAGATATGGTGGTAAAACTGGATAGGACAAATAGCTTTTATGTTCTTTAGCACAGCAGAACTATGGTTGAGCACTATTAGTGAAATATTTTAAAATAATTAGTAGAGAAAATTTTGGATGTTTCCAACACAGACAAATGATAAATATCTGAAGATCTGCCAATTACTCAGATCTGATCATATTACATACACGTACAGAAATGTCATAACTGTATCTGAAATGTGTCATTACTGTGTCAATTAAAATATATAATTTAAAATATAGCTTAAAGGGCTGGGGATCTAGCTCAGTGGTTCCGCTGCCTGCCTCGCAAGCACAAGGACCTGAGTTCGATCCCTGGTACCAAAAAAATAAAATAAAATAAAGCTTAAAAATAGAGGAGTTAGGGCTGGGGATTTAACTCAGTGGTTCTGGCACCTGCCTTGCAAGCACAAGGTCCCGAGTTTGATCCCCCATACCAAAAAAAAAAAAAAATAGAGGAGTTAATAAAGAATTGCTTCTAATTTTTAAAAAATGAGTTTACTTTTTTGATAGCAGCTGGGGATTTAGCTCAGTGGTTCCGCCACCTGCCTCACAAGCCAAGGACCCGAGTTTGATACCTGGTACCAAAAAAAAAAAAAAAAAAAAAAAAAAATGAGTATACTGTTTTGAGACAGTAACTAAAGCTAAATATCTGCCTCCCTCAGAATCTTATAATAGCACAATTCCTGGAGTAACTAAACAAGGAAGAGTCACGTCAGTTTGGAAGCTGATGGCCCACGAAAGGTAAAGAAAATTCTGACAAGGGCTACTCAGGAGCTAAAACCACTTCCACTGACAAAATAAGTTTTAAAATTCTATATAATAAAGTTCAAAAACTACATACTCAATAAAATGATGCTCACCTTAGACATTCATTAAGCGCCCTGGGCTCATCTGGCTGTACATTTTGAAAAGAGGTATCTTTTTTCTCAGGTTGTTTGTCTTCACACTCCAAATTTTTATATGATTGATCTTCCATTTGTTGAAGTATCTTAAAAACAAAATTTTTTAATGTTTTATTTTGTTTTTTGTTTTGGTACCGGGGATTGAACTCGGGACCTTGCACTTGCTAGGCAGGCGCCGGAACCACTGAGCTAAATCCCCAGCCCTAAAATTTTTTAATGTTTTACGTTTCACAATGAAATACATAATTTTTTAAAATTTCATTGCAAATTTTGACTTGATAATGAAAACAGTAAAAATTTCAAAATTATAAAATGATACCCAAAGGATGCTTTTTAATCATTTTTCTAGTAACCCTCCCAGTGTCTGTTAGAAGTACCTCATGATGCCCTTCTGATTCCTTCTGACCACTACAACTGCATTAAAACACAGCACTCATAGCAGAAGAAACCCAAGCTCAAAGCATGCCAACTTTTAACCTTTTCACAAAGACTACATATGATCTAAAATTCATGATCTTTGTTCTTGGAATTAAATTTTAGTGGGAAGCTTTTTAACATTTTATTCTGTTAAGCCAATGTTAAAATTCACACATTTAACTATCTCTTCAAAATGGAAAGGTTATTCAAATATTCACTGAGGGACAGGGAAAAGCAAGTCCAAAAATGAGGTAAAGTGAAAGGAATTTAGCAATGTTGTAAGCACTCTAAATGTAAAATGCCTTTACAATTAGAAACTGCTGCTGGCTAAGAAATTTTGGCCGTAAATTTAATAACCTACAGTACGCAAATTAGGTAGATGTGCTGTTTTTAAAGAGAGTGAGAAATTTATTTGAGGCTTATGTACATGTTTAACAAAATGTGGGAACAATCAAAATACTCACATCTTTGTTGACACAGGATTCATTCTGAGTCTTCTCTACACTGGCTCCTTCTTTTTGGGATGTGATGGTTTCTTTTCTTTCTGTAACTTTCCACACATTTGGCTTTGGTCTTGGTAATCGGCCCCTCACTGGTTGTGCAGATCTGGGAGCCTTTGGTTGATTATCTTCCAGGAGACAAGTTTTTTCACCTAAACTAGAACAACCACAAAGGAATAAATTCAATGTTTATTCTCAATTCATAAATGTGCTTATTTTTTCAGTACTGCCTTTTCCCTCACATGAATAAATAAACCCTTTAGAATATAAAATAGTTCACAAGTGTCCTCAAGAACATCATCAAAGCCAGTTGTGGTAGGGCCTGGGATTTAGCTCAGTGGTGCCGCCACCAGCCTTCCAAGCGAAAGGTCCTGAATTCGATCCCCAGTACCAAAAAAAAAAAAAAAAAAGCCAGGCATGGTGGTGCATGCCTGTAGTTCAAGCACTCAGGAGGCTAAAGCAGGAGGAACACCCCAAGTTCAAGGCCAGCTTGGGCTACATAGTGAGTTCAGGGCCAACCTGAACTATATAAAGTGAGACCCTATCTCAAAAAAAAAAAAAAAAGAAAAGAAAAAATCATCAAATATATTTATATACCTGTATCCTCATCTTTCAAACAGATATAACTCTTGGGGCCAGGGATTTAGCTCACTGGCGCCACACCTGCTTTGCAAGCACAAGGTCCTGTGTTCCATTCACAGTATGGCGGGGGCGGGGGGGAGGGGATATAACCCTGGAAACCTGACTATAAAATGTATTTTTAAATCAAAATTTCATTACAAAACTGGAAAATCTACATCTGCCAATGATGTCAGACTATTAGTCTTCAATCAGAATAATACTGTAGAATGTGCAACTCCAGGGGCATAGGCCCAAATTACAGTATAAATGGCACCCACTGGAACAGTACAGAATCTACTAGTCAGTGTCAAATTGGGACTAGGTTGTTCTAGATCTCCATATCAAGTATTCCCTTTTGAAATCTCTTACTATAAATAAAGTTATCAGAAATATATCTTATTTCTGAGACAGTGTCTTGCTAACTAGCTAAGTGGCCCAGGCTGGGCTCAAACTTGCAACCCCCTTGCCTCAGCTTCTCTGAGTGCTGGTATTACAGAGGTGCACCAATACACTGAGCCCAAAACCATTTGTCTTAACCACTTTATTAAACAAGTTGTTTTGTTTTGTTTTGTTTGGAGACAGGTCTCACTGTGTAGCCCAGGCTGGCCTCAAACTCATGACGATCTTCCTGCCTCTGCCTTCCAAGTGCTGAGATTACAGGCATGTGCCACAATGCCTGTTAAGAGTTTGTTAATGGTAAAGATAAACATTACCAAAGTCTTGTTAATAAAATGAAGGGAGACATAATTGCTAAATCAGTGTGCCCATACCGTAACTTTTGCACACAGTATCAAGCATATAGGGAGTATTAAAATGTTTTAACATCATTTATAGTTGAAAATAGTTTTAGACTACAGTATCTGAAAAGAAAATTGAGATGTTATTTGAGTAGAAAATAAACCGCAAGGGGCGGGGATTTAGCTCAGTGGTGCTGTGCCTGCCTTGCAGGTGCAAGGTCCTGAGTTCGATCTCCAATACCATAAAAAAAAAAAAAAGAAAGAAAGAAATAACTGCAATCATTCTTTTTTTTAATTTTTATTTTTTTATTTTTTATTTTTTTTTGTATTAAATTCTTCTATTGGTACATTGTAGGTATACAACACAATTACATTTCTCATTGGGAATTGTACCTTTATATAATGCATCTTGGTTCTTATTTTTTAGAGATAACTTATCTTTTTTTTTTTTTTTTTTTGGTACCGGGGATTGAACTCAGGACCTTGCGGTTGCCAGGCAGGCGCCGGAACCACTGAGCTAAATCCCTGGCTGCAATCATTCTTAAAAGTTACTATAGTACTTCTGAAATACTTACTTAGACATAGTTTCAGCTTCTTGGTTCTCCTTTCCTGTATTCTCCATTCCACCACTGTCAAATGTATTCATTTTATTCTTTTCCATGTGATTCTGCAAATTTAATTTTTTTAATTTAACCTCATAAAAAAGTTCAGACTTTGCAATAATCAAATAAGAATTAAAACAATGAAACTTAATTTTTTATACTTCTAAGAGATATTCTAAACATCCTAAATTCAGATGAGAACATTAAAAAACTGATAATCTCATATATTACTCAACAGCCTTGCCAACACGAACAGTCTTAAAAAGGTTCATGAGCAATTTAGCAAGAACTTGTCCCAAAACAAAAAAAAACTGGAGACACAGTTCAGTGCTCCAGGGTTCAATCCCCCATACTGCAAAAAGAAAACCTAGAAAGTACCAGAGATCTAACTGAGTGGTACAGAGTTTGCCTAGCATGTTCTAGGTCCTAGGTTTGATCCCTAGCATCACCAAAAAACCTGTGGGCAGGGGATTTAGCTCAGTGGTTCTGAGACCTGCCTCACAAACACAAGGTCCCAAGTTCAATCCCCAGTACCAAAAACCCCACAAAAAACCTGAAAAGATAAATGTGAAAAGACTGGTCACATCTGGATAGTAAAATTACAAGTAATTTTTGTTTTGATTTTTAAATCGATCTGTATTTTCCAAATTTCTAGAATAAAATCTTACAAGATTATAGTAATATATTATAGCCCATAATCCCAGCACTTGGCAGACTGAGGCAGAAGATCTCCACGAACTCAAGGCCAGCCTGAAATACACAGTGAGACCCTGTATCACCATGTACCTGCTTGGCACGCATGAGGCCCCTGGGTTCACACACCAGCATCACAAAAAAAGAAAATATGACAAAAACATACTTTACATAAAAGAAAAAAACACTGACCACCATTTTATTTTTTTTTGTACCAGGGATCAAACTCAGGATCTTGCACTCAAGGCAGGCGTGGTGCCGCTGAGCTAAATCCCCGGCCCTCTGACTACCATTTTAAAAAGCAATTTGACAAGAAAAAAAAAATTTTTATTTTTTTTGGTACCAGGGATTGAACTTGGGACCTTGCGGTTTCAAGGCTGGCGCTGGAACCACTGAGCTAAATCCCCAGCCCAGAAAAAATTTTTTTAAAATTATAAATATATAACCTGGGCATGGTGATGCAAATCTGTAACTCTAGCACCAAGAGGCTGAGGCAAGAGGATCGCTAAGAGCTCTCATTATGGACCTTAGGCTGGCCTTGAACTCACTGTGTAGCCCAGGTTGCCCTGAAACTCACGGTGATCCTCCTGCCTCAGTCTCTTGAGTGCTGGTGATATTACAGGACCTTGGCATCTTTCTTTTTTGACAATGTATAACAAGACAATGTATATGTTTAGATTAAAAGGTTGTGCATATAATTTCACGTACAACTAGTTTAAGAAATACTTTTAAGGCTGGGAATTTAGCTCAGTGGTGCCGCCGCCTGCCTCGCACAGTCCCAAGTTCAATCCCCAGTACCAAAAAGAAAAAGAAAGAAAAGAAATACTTGAAACAGGGCCAGAGTTGTGGCTCAGTGGCACTGTGCCTGCCTGGCAAGCACAAGGTCCTGAGTTTAATCCTTGGTACTGGGAAGAAAAAAAAAAAAAGAAATACTTTAAATAAAGTAAACAAAAGAGATTTATCACTAAGGACTTTTCAAACAATATGCCCGAGTTCTTAAAAAAATGCATATTTTTTTTAAATGCATAAATAGATTAGTAAGATAGGAACAAATCTAAGGTTATTCTATAAGTTCTTTTATCTGTTTTAATACCTGTTACAGTAGTTTATAAACTAAATATTCTTATTCCCAACTATTTTGAAGACTTTTGTAATTTTAATTTCCACAATGTCTTTTCCACATACCTTTTCAGTGGAGGTGTCTGAATGCGAACTCTCATTCTCTGCATCTGTTTTGGCTTGTGAAAGAACTAGCTTCTTCCCAACTGCCCTTGACAGATTGGGTTTGGGTCTCTGGAGTCGACCTCTCAACATTGGTTTAACATTTTCTGCTTGACTAGCTTCCCTGAAAGATTAATGTTATTTAAATTGTAACCAGCATGCAGTCATATTCAAATTAAATTCTAAAATAACCCACTCAGAATCACAAAGAACTTTAAAAGCTTCCCTATCTATAAATGAAGCAAAGAAAACTGAAAAGACTAACTTGTTCTGTCAGATGCTAAAAATATACTATTCAGCATCAGTAATTAAAAAACTTTACTGGTACTTACATATAAATAAACAGATATAAGAAAAAACAAAATAGAGAATCTAAAAATGATTCTAAAACTCATCTGATTTTAGTATATAATGATAGTATCTCAGAACAGTGAGAAGATAAAGTATAAGATATATATTTTTTAATCAGATAAAATTAAATAGTAATGGGGAAACTATAGATAACAGAAAACTACAACTAGCTCTATCCTTTACACTGTGCTAACAGCATACTCCAAGCAAACAAATATTTCCAAGAAACCACAGAGAAAATATGGGTGAGTTATTTTATAATCTTGAGGTGAAGCAAAGCTTTCAAAAATATGATAGAAAGAGATGGGTGTGTTGGCAAATGCCTGTAATCCCAGCACTCAGGAGACTGAGGCAGGAGGATCGATGTGAGTTTGAGGCCAGTCTGAACTATACATAACAAGACCCTGTCTCAAACAATCTCCCCCAAAAAACCAAAACAAATCAAAACAAAAATAATTACATATTGGATGGGTCTATATATTAATGTGAAGTAGAAGGTACCATTATCATTTAAGAAAACTTTAAAGGGGGGCCGGGGATTCAGTTCAGTGGTACTGCTGCCTGCCGCATAAGGGAAAGGTCCTGAGCTCGATCCCTGGTACCAAAAAAAGAAAAAAGAAAACTTCCAAGGGCTGGAGAGTAAGTAGCTCAGTGGTACAGTGCTTGACTAGCATGCAGGAAGTTCTGGGTTCCTTAGCACCACTGGAAAAAAAAAAGTTTTAAGAACCTTAGGGCTGGGGATTTGGTTCAGTGGTTTCGCCGCCTGCTGTGCAAGCACAAGGACCCGAGTTCGATCCCTGGTACCAAAAAAAAAAAAGAACCTTAACAAAATTTTGAAAATAAGTAAGTCCTACCATGTAAAATACCTACAGTGATTGACTCTTTTGGTCAACATTTCTTTCTTTTATACAACTCTGCTTGGCAGGATTCACCTCACACAGTGCTGTGATTGCAACTTCTGACGGAGACACAGGTGAAGGGCTGGATTCAGAAGATTCAGTTGCTGCTGGTATGTTACTGTGGTGATGACTAAGGAAGCAAAAATGAGGGTTAATACATATCTTGACACCCTTTACAAGATCTGTTTTAATGCATAAAACAAACCAAGACTTTGGAAAATGATCAAAGCTATTACACAGGCTTTTCTATGATCCTTCCTACATCATGTTATGAGCACTTGTACCTTCATACAGAGTGGGAGCCATAAGCTATCAGTGCTCAACAAGTCTCGAAATGAAAAATGCAAGAGTTCAAGAAGACTCAAACAACTATAGGTTCAATGGGGTTCACGAGGCAAATGAATGTGTAAAGTCATAGTAAAATTTTCAAACTAGGTTTCATTAAAATTGCATCTAGGGACCGAGGATTTAGCTCAGTGGTTGCACCTTCTGCCTCGCAAGCGCAAGGGCCAGTGTTCGATCCTCCGTACAAAAAAAAATAAAATTACATCTAGGCAGTCCTTGCTGTATACAGTACTACAGTATGATAAAATACGTAGTATTAATTAACAATAATATAACTGACAGCCATATACTAAATAGCAGCATTTGCTAAAATGATTCTGCAGACCAAAGGAAACAACAGAATGAAAAGGCAACCTGGGAAAGACAGAAAACATTTGCAGGCCACATTCCTGATAAAAGGCTAATATCCAAAATATTTAAATAAGTCCTCAAGCTCAATATTCAGAGAAGAAATAACCCAATTTAAAAATGGACAAAGGGAGCTGGGGATTTAGCTCAGTGGTGCTGCTGCCTGCCTTGAAAGTGCAAGGTCCTGAGTTCAATCCCCAGTACCAAAAAAAAAAAAGGACAAAGGGTCAGAAATGGTGGCACATACCTGTAACCTCAACACTCAGGAGGCTGAGGCAGGAGGATTGCCACTACGTTGACTGGGCTATATAATGAATTCAAGGCCAGCCTGGACTACATAGCAAGACCTTGTCTCAAAACACTCAAAAATTAAAAAATTAAATAAAAATGGTCAAGCGGGGGCCAGAACAAATAAAAATGGACAAGCTCAGTGGTTCTGCTGCCCATCTCACAGAAGCAAGGTCCCGAGTTTGATCCCTGGTACCAAAAAAAAAAAAAATTGGACAAGGGATTTAATAGGTATTTGGACAAAGAAGATATACAATAGCTAATCAGGATATGAAAAGATGCTCCACATCAGCAATCATCAGGAAAATGCAAATCAAAACAACGATCCCCAGTACCAAAAACAAAACAAAACAAAACAAAAAAACCTGCAGATGGGAACATAAAGTGCACCAGTTACTGGAAAGAGTACGAAGGTTCTTCAAAAATTTAAAAATAGAATTACCATATGACCTAGCAATCCCATACTTGTGTATTCACCCCCTAAAATTGAAATCAGGATCTCAAGAAGATATCTGCAACCCAATATTCATCACAACATAACACAACAGCCAAGAGATGAAAACAACTTAAACACCCACCCACTGAGTCATGGATAAAGAAAATGAGGTACCGTATACACATACAACAGAATAATATTCAGCCATAAACAGGAAATTCTCAGCTGGGGATTTAGCTCAGTAGTGGAGAACTCCCGAGCATGTACAAGGTCCTGGGTTTGATTCTCAGCACCACAAAAAATAAAAGTATGATAAAAATAAAAAAGTTCTGTCATATGCTATAACATGATGAACCGGGCCGAGGATTTAGCTCAGTGGTGCTGCTGCCTGGCCCGCAAGTGCAAGGACCTGAGTATGATCCCTGCTACCAAAAGAGAAAAAAAACCACGATGAACCACCAGGACACCAAGTAAAATACAAACACTGCATGGTTCCACTTACATGAGATATCTAATGTAATCAAATTCTCAGAAACAAAAAGTAGGATGGTTATACGTGAATTCCTTTGTGGATGCTGGGGCAAGAAGGAAATGGGGAATCCAATGGGTATAGAGTTTATTACACAAGAGGAAAACAGAAGACCTGCTATACAGTACTGTTCAGTTAGAGTTAATATACCATTTGCTTTAATTTTTCTTAAAAGGGTAAATCTCAGGCCGGGGATTTAGCTCAGTGGTTTCGCCGCCAACCCAAGTTCGATCCCCAGTACGGAAAACAAAAAACAAAAAACAAATAAACAAAGAAAGGGTAAATCTCTTATAATTTTTACCACAATAAAAAATAAATAACTGGACTAGGACTATACCTCAGGGATGGAGTAGTCACCTAGCATACAGGAGACTCTGGGTTTCATCCCCAGTACCACAAAAGAAAAAAAGGAAGAAAAAGAAAAGAAGGAAAAAAAGGAAAAAAGAAAATCTTTGTAGAAAATTATAAACACATGTAAACACTAATCAAAACAAAGCAGTAACACAAAGTAAACATCTAAAAGAGCAAAGTAGAGGATAGTAAACAGTGATAAAGGATATTTCACCAAGAAGACACAATAATCTTACATATGTGCATACCTAATAAGAGGTTCAAAACAAATGAAGCAAAAACACATGGAACTAAAATGAGAAATGCAGATTTACAGTTACACTTGGAGACTTCCATACGCTTCATGACCAACACAAGATGAAGTATTATAGATAAAACCAATGTGGTAGATTGACTAATAGTCAACTTGTAACACCCAGCTGAAATGAATCAGTGTGGTCTGGGTGTGGAGGAGCCACCTGAAGATTGTTACCAAAACCCATAAAAAGAGAACTGGAGGGGAAGATCGTGGGCTGTTGGTTTTCTAGAAGAAGCTTGCTGAGATTGGTTTTCCTGATGCAAACTTGGCTGTTCTTGTCAGAGGAGGAGCTTGGGGCCTCACTGTCACTGGGAATGACTGCTGTTCTCATCAGGGGAGCTCTGATCTTCACCGTGAGCATCACTTCCTGGCTCCAATGTGGATCCCTCAGCTTGGTGGCAGAATCCTTCATCTCACCAGCGCAGATTTTCTGGCTTCCATCACTAGCCTTTGGGCCTTCCAGGGACAGATCCTCAATATGGACAAGCATGAGACATTGCTGTGGGGTCTAGTCCACTGGCTGAACTCGAGGTGGACATTGCTTTGGACTCTAAGCCTTTAGTTGGACTTGTGTGGGAAATTGCTGGGATCTAGGCCCTCAGCTGAATCCTTTGGGCTTCTAGTGTGCGGTTAATCTCTTGCACTCCTTTGTATTTGACTCTTTGGGTAATTATCATAAAATAACCTTGTAAGTTGTGTGTCCTGTATTTAATGTATTCCTTTGCTGAATCCTTCTGACTACAACAATCAATAAACATAAAAAATACCTTGGTGAAAGGATGGGGTCCTTTCTCTGCTCAACTGTTTCACTGGAGACTAAATCCACAGTGTCATCTAGGTTCTGTGTGCAAGAGGGCATCTGTTCCTCACTCCGTTCACTTTCATTCACCTCAGGCCTTAAAGACTGACATTTATCTAGAAATATAAAATGCATGTTATCCTAAAAATGATAGTAGAAACATCTAATTTTTAAAGCACAAAGGAACTTAAATACAACATTGTCTTTTCCTACAAAATATTAATCTATTCAACATTTCAACTTTTTGTTTTTTCAGACAGGGTCTCACTACATAGCCTAGGCTGGCCCTGAGCTCACAGCAATCCCCCTGCCTTAACTTCCCAACTGTTGGGATTTCAGCCGTGCGCCACCACCTTATCTCAATTTTTATCTGTAAGGCAAACATCTTATTTTTGGACCATAATGAAAACTTTATCAATTTATAATTGTTTCTGTTTTGAGGATCTGCGCATGTCCTCGGAAATTTGTAGCAACTTCCAACTGACTTTTTATCTGTCTCGTCAGGAAACTTGGCTATTTTTCTGCTCCTTCAGAAGTATAACAATTAACAATATGCTAACAGCTATTATTTACTGAATACTAAATGGTAAAACTTTTAAATCTTAGAAAATATCTTGCGGAATAGATGCATTATCTCATTTAATACTCAATCCCAAAGATATTAATATTAATCCCATCATGGAGAAAAGCAATCTGAGTTCACAGACCTAGAGTGACTTGCCCAATGTCCTATTTAGAAATAAAGACAAAATCTATTTGATCTCTAAACTCTGATTTCTGAATCAAACCACTCTGCCTTATGTATAGTATCTCCTATACAAACAAGCCACAAGAGCATAAAATTATGATGTTTAGGGGACTTAGCTCAGTGGTAGCGCACCTGCGTGGCAAGTGTCAGGTCCTGAGTTCAATCCCTGGTACTGGGGGGGAAAAATTATGTTTATAAATCATACTATTTTAGCTGGGCATGGTGGTAGAAGTTATAATCCCAGCATTCTGAGAGGTTGAGGGAGGAAGTTCACAAATTCAAGCAGTCACTCAAGGAGGTAGGGGATGTGCATAGGGGATGTAGCTCAGTGAGAAGGCCCTAGGTTCAATCCTCAGTACTGCACAAATAAATAAACAAAAAAGCCATACTACTTTATTTTTTTGTTTTGTTTTGTTTTTTGGTGCCAGAGATCGAACTCGGGTCCTTGTGCTTGCGCAGCAGGCAGCGAAACCGCTGAGCTAAATCCCTAGCCCAAGCCATACTACTTTAACTACCAGGACATTTATTAAAATCAGATTGGTGGCCGGGGATTTAGCTCAGTGGTTCTGGTGCCTGCCTTGCAAGTGCAAGGTCCTGAGTTCGATCCCCAGTACCCCACCCAAAAAAATCAGATTGGTGAAGGTGAATTATATGAAAATGAAGTTCTATAGGAAAGCTTTTCTATTCTGTTACTACCATTTCTTCCTTTTTATTTGATTATCTGTTTTTTTTCTCTTTTCTCTTTGGGTGCTAGGGACTGAATCTAAGGGCCTTGTCCATGCTAAGAAAGCACTCTAACCTTGAACTACACCCCAGCCTGATTAGCTGCTTTCATATACATGAACTTTTAAGGAAGAGGACTAAGGAACAAGACCCTGCTAAATGTTAGCCTTCATCTCCTAGCAACTCCTAAGAATAAATATATGTATTTGCATTCTAAGACTGAAAAAGAAACCAAGTGTGTTGGTGCATGCCTGTAAGCCCAGCTCTCTGGGAAGCTGAAGCAGGAGGATTCAAGTTCAAGCCTAGCCTTGGCAACTAAGTGACTTAGCAAGATCCTATCTCAAAATAGAAAACAGAGAAAGGGCTAGGGATGTAGCTGGGGTTCAATAAGAACATATAAAGAGCTGGGGTTCAGGGCTGGGGATTTAGCTCAGTGGTTCCAGTGCCTGCCTTGAAAGCAAAAGGTCCAGAGTTCGATTCCCAGTACCAAAAAAAAAAAGGGAGGGGGGCTGGGGTTCAATCTTCAGTACCACAAAAAAAAAGTAAAAAAGAAAAATGGAAAGAATACTCCACTAGTTCTTTTACAGAAAGATACTAAGCAACACACTATAGCTTTATAAAGGCAGACCATGAAAACCTGTGATTTACTAACATGTGCAGCATACATTTAACTATATTTATGTGATTACCAATCACTGTTAATGGGAAGGATGTAGAACATCACAGAAACATACTTTAGAAAAAAATCTCCTTGCTTAAAATTTTTTTTTTTTTTTTTGGTCTTACTAGGGGATTGAATTCAAGGCCTTTTTACTAAACTAAATCCCTAGAACTTTTTTAAAATTTTGAGTCAAGGTCTCACTAAGTTATTAAATTACCCAGATTGGGCTGGAACTTGCAATCCTCCTGCCTCAGTCTTCTAGAGTGCTGGGATTACAGGCATGTCCCACCATGCCTGGTTTTAATGTTTTTCCCATAAACTTTTTTCTTTAACTCAAAATAAAAGGATTTAATATAGTACTATGGGTACAGAACTAATTAATAAGTATTAATTGCTGGTATCTACAACGAACACATTCCCCAGACACCATACTGCTATTTGTGTCTTAGTAAAATGGAAGCTATTACAATGTGTAAGAAACTTACTCTTATCCTTTTCTGCTTCAGAAAAACCTAATGGAACAGCAGCATTTCCTGAAAGACTTTGTACTTCCTGTTCATTTGCTCCATCTTGGTTCTTCTTTCTTCTTCTTTTTTGATTTTGGTCTTGTTCTAATACAACTTCTGCATCCTGCCCTGATGAAGTCAGAGAATCCTCTTCTGTGACTGTCTGAGCATCCCTTTGAGATCCTTCTATGTCTGAAATTTTAGCACTCACACATTCATCTGGATCATCATCCACAACTTCACTCGTAACTTTTTTCACTAAAAAGAAGAGAAATAGTTATAAATATATGAACAACCTATAGAAAAATTCTTAAAGGTAAAGAAAAATACTCAAAGGTACACTCTATAAAAATTATTTGTATGAGCAAAAAATTGAAGACAATCTAAAATAGGGAATGATTACATGCATGCTATAAAAATCTTTGTAGGTAAGGCCTAGGAGGAAGATCAGTGGTGGTAGAGCATGAGCTTATAACCATGGGCAAAGTCCTAGGTTCAATCACCAGTACCATCAAAAGAATGGAAAAAAACAAAACAAAACATCTAGGCACTAACAAGAATGAGATATGCAGTAATAAGATTTCAAAACATGAAAAAAAAGAAAAAAAAGATTTCAAAACATGTCTAAAAATATCCAGTGGTAGATATATCTATACAGATACATACAGATCTATCTAGATACATGTAACCCCGTTTTTATTACACAGTAACAATTGCACATACTCTAAAACACAAACAGGCACAGAAGAGTTTGGTAACAATTATCCTCAAATCTAAAAAATTTGCTTTGTGTTCTAATGAACAACCTTTTAAGTAAATATTTTTATACACTTTTTACTTCCCTGCCTATTAAAGTTATCTCTCTTTGCCCTTTCACCATACGATGATGGAAGAAAGCCCTCAACAGATGACAGGGGCCTTGATCTTGGACTCCCCTGCCTCTAGAACTGTGAAAAATAAATTTCTCTATAAATTATGTAATCTCAGGCATTCTTCAGAGTTGCACAAAACAGACTTAAGAGAACATCCAAAGCAAAAAGGAACCTTAACTTCACAACCATGATTGATTAGACATTTCTAAATACATCCAATCTCAAAAGATAATACAATTTAATATTGTTTACCTATGTCCAAAACAAGTCAAAATAGAATTATTTTAAAGTTGAGAAACCATTTGATTTCTTGCCAGAATACTAGCCAGAAATTTCTAAATTCTGAGTTATAATGTCTTTAATGTTCTTACACTAAAGAAGATTATAGTGAATTATTCATGCCACTACCTGTAATGTGATAATGACAAGAACTAGTATATCTATTTTAACCTCCTAAGGCTATGTGTAGTATATTAAAAAGAAAACACTGACTGAAAGATGAAACAACTGCAGTTATCAATGCTACTTTTAAAGAGAGACAGGGGCCTGGGATTTAGCTCAGTGGTTCCGCCACCTGCCTCTCAAAGCAGAAGGTCCCAAGTTTGATCCCCATTACCAAAAAAAAAAAAGATACAAGCACCATCCTCTTAGAAATTAAAGAAATTCTAGTCTGGATTTGTGCAGAAAAGATAATACAACAGGCCTGACTGCTATCTTTTGAAAGTCTGCCCTGGATGCTGCTCTTTGGGCCACATCTAGGAACATGGTCTTGGGAAAGGTGTCCACTGTTCCAGTTGCTAAGGACTGCTCACTGCGTCGGGGCTGTTTGCACAACGTGGTTCATGCTGAACTGTCTTCCTTTGGGGACTGTGGAATTTTGCTATGTGCCAAGCAGAGGATGCTAATCCCTTTGAGCCCTCCTGGTGAATAACCAAACATGGTAGTTGTCTTAGGGACTTTCAGCACATGTTCTCAGTCCCAAGTCTGAGTCCTGCCTCTGCCACTACTAACACTGTAAGACCTTAGGAAAAAGTGACTTAGGATCTCTGGGACCATTGCCCAGTGACAGAAACAAATGGAAAGCAAACAGATATGAACACATCAGGTTCCCTGTAGTTCTAAGATTCTTTAAATTATGTGATGATAGCTGAACACTGGCCTCAGTTCAGAGTTCAAACAGTTGAAAAAATAGCCAGGCGTAATGGCATACACCTACAATCCCAACACTCAGGAGGCTGAAGCAGGAGTTTGAGGCCAGCTGGGCTACCTAACTGAGCTGAAGGCCAGTCTGAACTACCTAGCAAGTTCGATCTCAAAAAAACCAAGAAAAAAACATAAGCCTAAAAGTAGAAGTATCCACATATGAACAAGTTTCTACCTTGTTCTACAGTCAATATTAACTTTCAGAAATAAGTTGTGCTCAAACAATACAACCTAGTCATAACTGCAAAATATTTGATTTCCATTTTTTTAAATACTAGAATTTTATACCAGACTTGTTTTATAGAAGAAAATGATAATAAGCAAAATTATTTACTATAATTTTGGCCTGACACACCAAAATGCTCGTGTTCTTTGATCTGCTACAATACCCAGATACTAGAATGATGGCAAACAGCAGACATTCCAATTACAAAATTGAAAAGGGAGCTGCTGTTTTGGCCCCAGTAACTGGTAAAATGAAGAAACACCAATTCCCTCTAATTGAGGGCCCTAATGATTTCCACCTGAGCTACACATGACTCTCAATTCCCACGGGACAGTATTGCATGTGTACTACTGCTAAGCAAAATCACATGATTCCTTGTAAAGTTAATACCTTTTACATTTTTCTGTGGTTTGGAGGATTTCTTCTTTACACCCTGATTTTTAGTCGATTTTTGTTTTCTTTTCTCTTCTTCCGCAAGAACTTTCTGGAGCAAATGAGCAAAAAAATCGAAGTCAAAAGGGCGTTTTTCCTCTGTTTGAAAAAAAAGAAAAAGAACCTTCAAGTTTCTATTTTCAAAAAAAAAGAAAAGAACTTTCTAGTTTTTTTAAGTTTCATGACATCAAAAGCAAATGGGCTTATTTAACAGCAGCATAATGGATAAACAAGTATACAATAGAACACTAAACAGCAATAAAAGGAAACTAGTTTAGGAGTGAAGGGATCACTGATAACAAGCAAAAACAGGGGAAGTCTTAAGAACCCACCAAGTAAAAGAAACCAGACATAAACAGTACATACTATATGAACGCATGAATTATGATGATCTACGACATGCTAAAAGAATCTATGGTGATTCAAAGTAAAACAGTGTTTGCCTTGAACCAGGACAGGATTTGACGATTGGAAAGGAAATCAAAGGATCTTCTGAAGTGTTGAAAATGTTCCATATACAGTTTGACTTGGTGGTTACACAAGAATATTCTTTGCCAAAATTCAAACTACATTTTCAAGTGTGTATAAATATAAATCAATTATTAAAAGTGGCAGGGGCCAGGGATTTAGCTCAGTGGTTCCGCCGCCTGCCTTGCAAGCAAAAGGTCCCAAGTTCAATCCCCAGTACCAAAAAAACAAAAAAGAAGAAAAGTGGTGAAGAGGGATGGAGGCATAGCTCAGAAATGCAGCACAAGCTTAGCAAACACTAATCCCTAGGACCAAAAGAAGTGGGTAGAGCCTAGGGCTAGTGTGTAGCCCATTGGTTGAGCACTTGCTTAGCAGGCTTGAAGCCCTGGGTTAAATCCTCAGCACTGCAAAATAAAATAAAAGTGAAAATGACTGAGAAGTCCTCAAAATACCTATCCACTATCATAAGCCCTCTTTCTTATAACTATTTCATTGCTCTTCCAAATATCAGTAAAGTGGGAAGCAAATGTAAACTATAAATCAGTTTAGGGTAACAAGAAACACTCCCACCAAATACCCATCAACAGCATTATATCAGAAACCAATCAGTAAACAAACCAGAAATGAATCCATCACAGGAATCAAATCCTTCACTAAACTTCACATCTAAACTATGATACATGTACAGAAAGATTATAAGAAGGCCTCAGAAAAAAAGGTACATACTAAAATAAAAACAGTCTCAAGAAATTCACTCAAATCTGAAGGTCCTGTTTTTCTGTGGACCCAGCTTTAACCTGGAAACTCTGTAGAACAATAAGCTCGCTGGCACTCTTAAGTATCCATAAACAATCTCTATAGGCTATTGTGGCTTTCCTCACAATAGCCAGCAGTGTGTATTCCAAGGTGTACTTTTATCTTGCTTTTTCTTCTTCTACTTGGCCCAAGCTCGAAGAGCCAGTTTCTCCCACCTTTATTTTTTCAAATAAACTATGCACTGTTAAAAGAAAAAAATAAAATCTCTATATAAGTCAGGTGTGGTGGCACATGCCTATAAATCTAGCATTCGGGAGAGTGAGGCAGGAGGACCACCACAAGTTTGAGATCAGCCTGGGCAACATAGTGAGTTTAAGGCCAGCCTGAAATATATAGCGAGACCCTGTCTCAAAAAGAAAGAGAGAGAGAGAGAAGGGGGGGGGGGTTGTAAAATTTTAAGTTCTAAAACCACTCTTTGGGTTTGAATTTATTTTTAATTTTCTACAAGCCACCAAAATCAGCAAAAAAAAATTGTAAATGTACAGATGAGTTATTTCCTGATCATAATGTTGAGCATAATGAGTTTCTCCATTTACAATGGTCCAAATATTCAAGAAGCCATTCCTGAAAGTGGTTTCCCTAAGGACCCAATACAACAACACTAGGCTTTTTAAAAAAACAAAAAAACCCCCAAAAACACTCGGGGCCTAGAATCCTTTTATCTACTATAGTGTTTACTTATGTACAATGAATGTACATGCTACAAAAAACAAGTTCTGTATCCATACATAGATTTTTGTCTAAAGTTAGTATTATGGGCCTAGAAGAGTGGTTCAAAAGTAGAGTGCTTGGCTAGGCATGGTGGTGCACACCTATAATCCCAGCACTGGGGAGGCTGAGGCAGAAGAATCACCAAGAGTTCAAGGCCAGCCTGGGCTACACAGTGAGTTCAGGGCCAGCCTGAACTACAAAGGGAGACCCTGCCTCAAAAACAAAACGAAAAGTGAGTGCTTGCCTAGTATGTGCAAGGCCTTAGGTTCAATTCCCATCAAACACAATAAAATTAGGGCCGGGGATTTAGCTAGCTCAGTGGTTCCGCCGCCTGCCTCACATGTGTAAGGTCCTGAGTTCGATCCCCAGTACCAAAAAAAAAAGCACAATAAAATTAGTATTATGGCTAATTTCAATTAAGAAAGTTTATTTAATTTTAATTAGCTAATTTTATGGTTAAAAGGACATTGGGTGCACTTATTATGAAATGTTGATAATTATACATCCATGAAAAATGTGTATCTTCCCAAAAATACAGGAACTGCTTTACATAGTAAATGTGATTGTTTTTCTTTACAGATCTGATGTTTTTCACTAACTTACAAAAAGAGAATGTTAATTTTAACAAAAATATTAGAACTAGAAGCTACCTAGTATTTCTTCAACTCAGATCTAAATTCAAATATTATCACTTCAGACAAAACTTCCTAGATGACTCAATCTAAATAACCAGCCCCCAACTCCCTCTTTTTCCTTCTTAGAAATCAATCACTATTTGAAATTATCATGTTGGGCCAAGGATGTAGCTTAGTGGCACAGCACCTGCCCGGCAAGCTCGAGGCCCTGAGTTCAATCTCCGGTACAAAAAAAAAGAAAAAAGAAAAAAAGTATCGTGCTGATCAACTTCCCCCATCCATTTAGAATTAAGGCTCTAAAGGCAGGATTCTCTTCTGCCCTGTTTATCATTATATATCCTCAATACCTAGCACAGGGACCAGCACACAGTACGTGATCAGTGATATCGACTGAATGACAGGCTGATTATTGGAAGGAACCACCTATAAAACTTTCTTCTAGAAACAATTTCTTGACTATAGTTCTTTCAGAATAAAGAACCACTTAGAAGTATTATCATCAGTCCTTCTACAACCTTTTGGACTTAGAACTCTATCTACATGGATATTTTGACTATTCCTTGCCAACAAATTTGTAGCAACTACCAAACCTGTACTGTTAAACAAAATTTCCCAGTCTTATTCTTCTTTTTTTAGTACCAGGGATCGAACTCAGGTCCTTGCACTTGCGAAGCAGGCAGCGAAACCACTGAGCTAAATCCCCGGCCCTCCAGTCTTATTCTTACTATACCATTATAAGGACAAAAAAAAAAAAAATCTAACTGGGTGTTGTGGTACATATCTGTGATACCAGCACTTGGGAAGCTCAGGCAGGAGGACTGCCATGAGCTACATAGTGAGTTCAAGGCCAGCCTGAACTACACAGCAAGACTCTATCTCAAAAAAAAAAAAAAAAATCTAAAATATATCAAAGACAAAGGAATGGTCATTTTTTAGTCTTTTAAAAATACTATGTAAAAGGAGTCTTTAGTACTTACGGAATGCTTTGTCTATTCTCCACCCATTTGTTTTTTCTTCACGTTTAAATTTATTCTGTTAAATGACAACAAAAAACTTATTAAACAAGTAAAGATTTTTTAATTAGTAAATATTAAAGGAAACTTATGAATAACATGTTATTCTCTTCTAAATGGTGTATCTTGGCCAACAGTTAACTTAAAGCTTTAGCTTTTTAAAAATGAGGATGAAGCCAGGGATTTAGCTCAGTGGTTCCGCCACCTGCCTCGAAAGTGCAAGGACGGGAGTTCGATCCCTGGTACCAAAAAAACAAGAGGATGAAAGCTGGTGTGACAGCCTTGGACACATTTTTAAAACCTGGTATGGCTTGAACATATTCTAATGTATGGACACTGTTCATTTCCATGCTTTCCTTTTCTTTTTCTTTTTTTTTAATGGTTTGCTTTGGCAGACTATAGTATTTGTCTGTGACCTGTTTTTTGTTGCCATGCTTTATTTTTCTTCATAAAACTTATTACCATGATAGTGTCTCTCCATGGTAGCCCACCCTAGACTGTAGGGCATATTTTTTTTCTCCCTCTTCCCTACTTTTATTTGGCCCAAACTCCCTCCACACAGCCTGTTTTCTCTTACCTTTAATAAATGTGAAACTCTGCTGGTTGTTTTTCTTTTTAACTACCACGTAACACGTAAGTGTTCACAGAAAATCATATTTCTACCTTTAAAAAATTATTCTTTATATAGCTCCTCAAAAATTCACAAAGTTGCCTCCTCCAAAACAGACAGGCCACATCCACTAAATTAAATGTCCTGAGTGAAATGCTGACAAGCTTAAGGTATTATTCCATTCTAAAACACTGCTAGATCGTATTGCATCTAACTGGTAATATAATTCATAACAACTTAAAACTTGTTTGAAGAATGGATTGATATTAGTCACTGATTTCACAGCAGGAACCCTGTAAATCAAATTCCATGTTAGTAAAATAAATCTTGTAATTTCCACCTGCAACTGTTACCGATTTGTCCTATATATCTAAAAACTACCATAAACAACTTTAGCAGTGAACATAATGTAGGCATCAACTATCGGCAAGCACTGGACAATAGTCAGAGTGTAACAGACTGTACTACTAGAGGAAAGGAAAACACACCTGATGTACCTTTTCCCATGCAATTAACCAAGTAGAGGGCAGGGGAGGGGAGGGAAGAGGGAACAGGCAAGGGAAGAGTCAGAGAATCTTTTAAACTTTGGTTCTAGAGAAAAAGGAGCTGTGTAGAGCCCTCCCAAGCCTGGCTGAATACTACCTCATGAGTCCCTGGGCTAAACCTGAGTTGCATGTGAGCTCAAGGGCAGTAGAGAACCCTGCTCCAAGGACGAGAGCAGAAGGAAGATACTAGATGTGACATAACACAGCAAGAGAGAGTTCTGGGCCATGGTAATGGGAGGGTATTGTTAACACCTGGGCATTAACCTCAGACACCAGAAGGGCCTCTATGACAGATAAGGAACACAGCCTACACAGCACCCTTCTCAGCCAGGTTCTGATATGAGAATTAAGCCCTAATGCCCAAGCATCCTCTGTGTGTTGTGCATCACCTTCTCTTCCATGCGTCTTGAATGGTACTACTATAACCATTCTTAAGACAACATGGGAATTTAGCAAGTTGTTGAGAATGTCTCCACATAAAAAATACAAAGGGCTGGGGATGTAGCTCAGTGCGAAGGCCCCCAAGCACACTGAAAATAAATGCTCAAGAAGCTGAAACTGGAATGGTATTTGAAGAACCTACTGATAAGAAGTTTGAAAAAAAAGAAGATGGAAGAGAATTTGAAGAAAATGCTTATGGAAAAGATACTTAAAAAGGCGAGTTTGAAAAAGAGAGCAAAGATGACTGCCCTGAAAAAGAATCTGAAGAGGGCTGCCCCCAAGACAGTTTGAAGGAGTCTGCCATGAAAAGGTGTTTGAAGCCGGGCATGGTGGCACACACCTGTGATCCCAGTACTCGGAAGTTTGGGGCAGAAGGACTGCTGGGAGTTCAAGGCCAGCCTGGGCAACATAGTGAGACTTTGTCTTAAAAAAAAAACCCCAAAAAAAAGGAGTTTGAAGAGGGCAGTCCTAGAAAAGAACTGAAAGAGAATGGCTCCAAAAAACAATCTAAAAAGAAGAGACTCAAAAAAGGTTGTGAAAAAAACGGTCTTGGAACGAGTCTAAAGATGATGCCGACAAAGAGTCCAAAGGGAAGGACAACCCCAAAAAAGAAGAAGAAGAGTATGACCCCGAGAAGGAATCTGACAAAGACTGTTCTGAAAAATAGTCTGAAGACGGCCTGCAAAAAGAATTAGAAGAAAAGGGTCTCAAAGAAGATTTTGCGCAGCAGGCGGTGAAACCACTGAGCTAAATCCCCAGCCCTCAAAGAAGATTTTGATGAAAGTGGCTCTGACATGTAGCTTCCTGAAAACATTTTTTTTGGCACTGGGAATCGAACTTGGGACCTTGCGCTTGTGAGGCAGGTGATGAAACCACTGAGCTAAATCCCCAGCCCTCCTGAAAACATTTTTTAAAAAAACAGAAGAAAATGACATTGACAAATCAGAATTTGAAGGCTCCAAAAGAGTGTTAGATATGGAACACTTTGAGGGAGAGATGAAAAGAATGAAGAGGAAATATGTGATAAGGTTTTTGATGATGAGTCAGATGAGAAAGAGGATAAGGAAAATACAGACAGAAGAGAGCATGAAGATGCTGATGAAAAAGAGGAAGAAGATGACACAGATGAAGGATGAAGTTGTTTGAAGACTCAGATGAAAAGAAAGATGAACAAGATGCAGATGAAGATGAAGATGGAAGTGGAAAGTTAAGATGACAACTCCTCTGAGTTTGAGGAGGAGGAGGATTCCAACGGTGTCTGAAGATCTGATGAAAGGAGGACTCTGGGGAATGTAAAGGGAGAGGGGCCTCTGTCCATAGGCAGCAGCATTGTTCTCAGCAGTGATGATAATGACGATGACGATATCTAATCCTTGCTTCTTAGACAGAGTCTCCATCTCCATTTGCCTGTGCTTCATGGTCATTACTAGCAGTGTTACATGAACATGTGCAATAGAGGGAAGCTTTTCAGATTAATGCATCAAAGTTTTTTCATTGTTACCTATACCTAATTATTTTAAATATATATTAATTGGCTGTTCAGTTAAACCTGATATAATGCAAATAAACTGTATATTTGTCCTTTTGTCAACATTTGGTAAGTGCATACAGAATAATATTTTTTAAAGTATCCTGACTGAAGTTTGTGATATTCAAAAACAAAAAGTTGGTAATATATAGAAACTGAAAAAAAAGCCTCAAAAATTTTCAAAACTATTAAAATCTTATAGATTATATTGACATTCAAAATGGAATTAAGTCAGAATATTTAGTAAGTTTCCAATGTTTAGAAATGAAACAACACACCTCTAAGTAACTGATGGGTCAAGAAAAAAGATAAAAGGGAAACTAGAACAACATATCAAAATCTGTGGAATCAGTTAAAAGAATGTTTAGAAGGAAATGTATAGCTTTAAATATCTACTTTTTTTAAAAATGAAGGCTTTACTTTTTTTTTTTTTTTTTTGGTACCAGGGATCAAACATGGGTCCTTGTGCTTGCAAGGCAGGTAGCAGAAAAACTGAGCTAAATCCTCGGCCCAAAAATGAAGGCTTTAAAACCAATACTAGAAATATTCATTTTAAGAAACCAGAAAAACAAAAGATTTAAGCACAAAGTAAATAGAAGAGGGTCAGGGATTTAGCTCAGTGGTTGCACTGCTTGCCTCGCAAGCGCAAGAACGCAAATTGGATCCCCGGTATCAAAAAAAAAAAAAAAAAAGTAAATAGAAGAAGTACTAAGGAATTAGACTATCTCAAAAAAATAAAACGGGCTGGCAATGTAGCTCAGTGAGCTCAATCCTCACCACCACACACACAAAAAGCTAACAATGACATTAATAAAAGTTGGTTCATTAGAAAGATTTTGAGGTTTAGTGCCCCCAAAACAAATAAAAAATTTAAAAAGAAGTTAATAAACCCTTAGCAAGATATATATGGAAAAACAATGACAAAACAAATTATCAGAGGGCCAGGGATTTAGCTCAGTGGCACTGCACCTGCCTCACAAGCACAAGATCCTGAGTTTGATCCCTGGTACCAAAAAGAAAACAAAAAAAAAATTATCAGAGAGTTATCATTATTGATCCTATAAAATGATAATGGAATTAAATTTAACAGCCTAGCATCAAAATTGATACAAGAAAAAACTGAAAATTTGTCTGGTTTTGCTTTTTTGAGATGGAGGTCTCTATTTTTCAGGCTGGCCTTGAACTCCTGGGCTCAAGCAATCCTTGTGCTTCAGCCTACAAACTAGCAAGTACCACAGGTGCATGACACCAGCACCTAGCTGAAGCTAAAGGCCTGAATACCCCTATCTATATTTTTAAAATTGAAATTGTAATCTAAACTCTTCTCCCAAAGAAAATTACCAGACTAGAAGGTTTTACTGGTGAGTTCTATCCAACATCAAAGGAGAAACAGTACTAATCTTAAATTCAAAATCCAAACCAGGAATACTCCAATGCATTGTCTATGATCAAAATGCTTCATACCAAAACAGGACAAAGACATTAAAAGAAAATTACAAGTTCTTCAACTTCAGTGCTTGGAAAAACTGCATTTTGGGGCCCAATGCTAAGAGCTATAGAAAAGGTCATGAGACCACAATTCAGAAGAAAGGAACAGAGCTAAGCAATAGAAAAAACAGTCTCGATACTGATGTAGTGGTCTACAGCAATCATCTAGAAAGTACTGAATGTTTTATAGGAGAGTTTATTACCTCCATGGGCTTAATTATAGAGCAGGTGATGTGAGACCACATGGAAGGATCATGCGGCCTTCCATTTAAAGGAAGAACATAAGGAGGACTGGTTACAAAATAAAATTCCTGGAGTAAATGGAAAATGAGAAATTCTCACAGAATGCAGAGGAAAAGGCCAAAGAAATTAAGATGAGAAAAGAGAAAAAAAGGAGAAATGCAGAGGGGCTGTCCAGGACATACAATCTACGTGCAAACAAAGAACAAACCAAATAAAGCTGAAGCAATAATTACGGAACTAACTGAGGAAAACTTTCCGGGTTGAAGAATGAAATAGGTTTGCAAATGAAGAGGGCTCACAGGGTACTTTTAAAATTTAGTGAAAAGAAAGCAACACCTAGAAATACCCTTGAAACTTTTTTAAATTTAAAGGATTAAAAAAAAATTTACAAGTATCCAGGCAGAAAGCAAGTTACCTATAAATGGCCAAAAATCACACCGAGCTCAGATTTTCCTCTTACAATTCTAAACGGCAGAAGACAAGGGAACATCTACAGAGTTTTATGGGAAAATAATTCTGAACCAAGAATTACATACTCTGCCAAGTTAGTATTTGTATATGAAGGCAACTGGAAGTCATTCTCAGATACCGAGGGGTTAAGAAAGTATATCGACCAAGAACCTTCTCTGAAAGTTTTGCTGATTTAATGCAGCCAACAGAAAAAGTAAAAAGTATAGGGAGATAACTGTATGAAAGATTTGATGGTTAAAACTATAATTGTTACATACAAGGTAATAAACGTAAATGCAAAATAGATTTGTAAGGTAGACCTAAAATTTTCAGTTTATGTAGTTTTAAACTGTCAAAGTACATGTCAAATATTCAGTGTATTCGTCAAATAAACACTATTTTAAAAAAAGAAAAAGATAATTACAAAGGCTAGGGGTGTGCCATGGCAATACAAATATTTAAGAATGAGCTTAATCCCCAGCACTTTTATTTAAAAGAAAATGTAAAATTACAAACCAATATCCCTCATGAACAAAGACATTAAAAATCCTCAAGACAATAGACCAAAATTCAGAAACATATAAAAAGAATATAGTATAAGCAAGCAAAGTTGATCCCAGGAAAATAGGGTTAGTTCAACATTTGAAAAATCAACGGGATGTAATACAGTCCATTTTCATTTTTCTACATTTTTCCCAAAGATCTGCTGGAACTACACTTACACTAACCTTTTGAGGAAAGAGTCTGAATGACTTCTGAGAAAAATACTCCAGTGACAAACTTATTATTAACTACTCAGATTACAGATCATCAATTTCTAGCCTTCACAATAATTTAACATTTTGTTCTTTTATTAGAGTTCAACATTACAAAATGAACATAAAGAATATAGGCAGTTTCTCACATCTTGCAGAAATAAAATGTAAGTAAGGCTACTTCATCATACTGTCCAATGCCCATCACATAATGTCCCCAGGCAATCAATCGTGCCTAGTATAGTTCTAAACAGAAAATATCGTCTTCCCTATTGTTTATTGCTAACGTAATAAGCAGGATGGGGTAGGAAATGAAGGGGAAGACCACGGCTGAGTAAAGATTTTACTATGCATTGAGAATGCACTATGGCATGGCAACATTGTGTGATAGCAGTCAGATGTACTCCAACCCAGGAAACTAGTATAAAGTCTCCTAGCAAAGACACAGGAAAAGCTCATGTTCTCAGGCATATCCCAGATGTAATGCCACCACTGCTGTTAATCCTCCCAGTGGCTGCCCAAAGGTAAGGTAGTCTAGGAGAGCAACAGCTAGCTCAGTTGTGGATAACTTAGAATTAGTCTCTTTATGCCATCCTAGGAAAATTCAGGAGAGCAATGGCACATAATAGTAAAAAAAAAAACATGGACTGTGATTTAAATAAAAGTTAAAAAAAAATGAGCGAGGAGTCATGGCACACATCTGTAATCCCAGCACTGAAGAGGCTGAGGCAAGATGATCCCAAGTTTGAGTCCTCCCAAGGCAAACAAGATCCTATCTCAAAATTTAAAAAACTTTAAAAAGCACTCAGAAAATAAATAAAAATTTTAAAGTGCCCTACTACCACACTAGAAAAAAAGGAGGGGGGTAGTATATACCTACAAACTCAAGTATTCAGTAGGCTAAGACAGAAAGATCACAACTTCAAGGCCATCCTGGAAAATTTAGCAGGACATTATCTCAAATTTCTTTTAGGAAGAGCTAGGAGCCAGGAATGGTGGCACACACCTGTAATCCCAACATTCAGGAGGTTGAGGCAAGAGACTGCCACAAGTTCGAGGCCAGCTTGGGCTACATAGTGAGTTCAAGGCCAGTCTGAACTACATAGGAAAACTCTGTTTAAAAGAAAAAAAAGAGCTAGGGTCCAGGCCTGGTGGCACATGCTTCTAATACTATGCTAGTATTCTAGGAGGCTGAGGCAGGAGGGAATGCAAATTCAAGCCCAGCCTGGGCAATTTAGTGACTAGGCAAGATCCTATCTCAAAATAAAAAATTTTAAAAAGGGACTGGGACATAACTCAGTGCTAAGACCCTAGATTCAGTCCTCCACACTGCAAAAAAAGGGAGGGGGGTGTTGAGGGGGGTGCTAGGAAAATGAATCAGTAGGCCCAGCTTGGGCCCTACTCCAATCTCCAGTATCCACCCACCCCACCCCAAATAATATTAACAACGTTTGGTCTCTTTTCAATCAACAAATGTGATGAGATTACTTTACCTTAATTTCTATCCTTGCTCTGTGAGGAAAAAGTTGTCCAATCATAGAAAAGTCAGTTCCTACCATGCTGATGGCTAGAAAGAACATATCTGTTTCTGTAAAAATAAGATTTAAAATCACTGAAAATTAATCTTTTCAGAGGAAATAAATCTACGTAAGTATATATGAAGTAAAAAATATAAATTTCAAGGAGCCAGGGATTTAGCTCAGTGGTTCCAGTGCCTGCCACGCAAGCGCAAGGTCCCAAGTTCGAACCCTAGTACCAATCAATCAATCAATCAATTTCACAGTACTTAATTTTACTAGAAAGAACTGCATGGAATATCTTAAAACATTTTTTTAATATAGTATAAGAAATATTCATGCTCAAAATCAAAACAGCCAGAATTTATTAAAAAGACTTTCTGTTATCTAGTCTCATTTGAAATGCCTAGAAAATTGTCAGTCATTGCAATTGTATCATTATACATGCAACTAAGATGTACTATGTAAAAAGAAAGTAGCTAGAAAATACACAAAAAACTTATAAAGTCATCTCAGAAGAACAGAATTGGTGGAGTCAGCAAATTAGAATCTTTCTTTTTGCTTTGTATTCTTTTGTCATGTTTGAACTTTTTTCCCAAAATGTCTTCTTTTTTTTTTGGTACTGGGGATCGAACTCGGGTTCTTCTGCTTGCGAGGCAGGGGATGGAACCACTGAGCTAAGTCCCCAGCCCCCCAAAATGTCATTTTTTATCATAAAAGGTTGGGCTGGGGATTTAGCTCAGTGGTTCTGCCGCCTCCCTTGCAAGCACAAGGACCTGAGTTCGATCCCTGGTACCAAAATAAAGGTCACTAATAAGAAGTGCCATGCAGTTACTGTGTCCTTTGTTTCTTGACATTTCATCTATAGAAACTTTTATACAATGCTATCTAAATTAGAACATTATGACCATTAGAAATTATTGTTAATTTTTCATTTAAATGGTTTTGCTTGGTAGGACTTGAGGGGAAGATTCCAGCAGAAAATGACCAAAGAGCTAATTTCTTTAAAAGATTATTTTTATTAGTATCATTTGTTTAGAGTTGGTACAAGTACATAACACATCTTAATTCTCTTTTGTTTTGTTTTGTTTTTGGTACCAGGGATTGAACTTACTAGGACCTTGCGCTTTCGAGGCAGGCACTGTGCCACTGAGCTAAATCCCTGGCCCCACATCTTAATTCTTTTTCATCATCATCCCCTCCATTCTCTCACCATTCCCTTTTCTAAGATAAAGTCAAGAGACATAGTTCCACGGTGGGGGCAGGTAGGGGTGCCAATAAAATTAGCTAGAAAGAAACCACAGTACTTTATATTTATTTGCTTAGGGAGGACCTTAAGTCAGAAAGATAAAGCGATTCATTTCAAATAAATAACTCACATAATTTTTAATGAAAATTAGTTACCTTTATTTGACCATGGTTTGGAGTAATAGTTTTTCCTAAAGCTGGAATATGTAGTTGTAGAACCACACTCAAATATAGGATCATTTTCCTCAACAACACATGGGCCTTTTGTCCTTAAAACTTCCACAGTTAAACTGAAAGAAACACATTTTCAAATATATCCACAGCAAAAAAAAAGAAACAAACAATAAATGATATTTAGAGAACTAGTGATCAGCTGAGAGCGGCGTGGGGTTCAGCAGGCTGGGCCTCGGGACTCAGTTGTGGCGCGCTGCCTGAGCGACGGCGTGCTCCATGGGCAGCAGCCAGGGTCGCAATGACAGACTACAGCGAGGAGCAGCAAAACGAGCTGGAGGCTCTGAAGTCTATCTACCCCAACTCCTTCACAGTATTATCAGAAAATCCACCCAGCTTCACCATCACTGTGACATCTGAGGCTGGAGAAAATGATGAAACTGTCCAGACTACCCTCAAGTTTACATACAGTGAAAAATACCCAGATGAAGCTCCTCTTTATGAAATATTTTCCCAGGAAAACCTAGAAGATAATGATATCATAGACATTTTAAAATTATTAACATTACAGGCTGAGGAAAATCTTGGTGGGGTCATGATCTTTACTCTAGTGACAGCAGTGCAAGAAAAATTAAATGAAATAGTAGATCATATAAAAAAGAGAAGAGAGGAAAAAAAGAAACTAAAAGAAAAAGAAGCAGGGCCGGGGATTTAGCTCAGTGGTTTCGCTGCCTGCTGAGCAAGCACAAGGACCCGAGTTTGATCCCCGGTACCAAAAAAAAAAAAAAAAAGAAGCAGAAGAAGCAGAGAAGCAATTATTCCACAGCACCCCTGTTACAACTGAGAATTTCTTATGCTGGAAAGCCAAGTTTGATGCAGAACTCTTGGAAATTAAAAAGAAATGGATAAAAGAAGAAGAGCAAGCAGGAAAAAATAAATTAAGTGGCAAACAGCTGTTTGAAACCGATCATAATCTTGACACATCTGATATCCAGTTCTTGGAGGATGCTAGAAATAATGTGGAAGTAGATGAGTCTTTGTTCCAGGAACTGGATGACTTGGAGCTGGAGGATGTTGAGGACGACCCAGACTACAACCCTGCTGACCCAGGGAGTGACTCAGAGGACTGGTGCACCATCTTTGGAGAGCTCCATAGCCACAGCATCTGTGGCTGAGCGGAGAGGCTTTTAATTTTTCTTTCTTTTTTTTCTAAGAAAAAATAACTCTCAGGAGAATATTCTTCTGATAACTTTCACCATTGAACTTAATAAACTGACCATAAAACTTCAAGATTAAAAAATAAATAAATGATATTTAAATAGTTATTTTTAAAATTTCCAATGGCAATCATATGAAAAGTATAATGTATATTTTTTAAAATAGTAATGCACATTTGAAATGTGAGCACTTTCTACATACCTACTAATTTTCACCTAAAATGTAATTCCTTGTTTTCAAAATCCATAAAATCAATCCAAAATTTACAAAATATCTTCAGGCCACTTAAAATATTTGTTTCATCGACTTCTAGATATTTAGTATTATTATCATGTGAGGCACAATGGAATACTGAGACATAAGCATGTTATGTAAAAAAAAAAAAAGAGGTTACTTGTCCTGTGGTACCCAGAATCAAGTCTAGGGCCACTGTACCACTAAGCTACAACCTCAGCACTTTTTCTTTTTCCTTCAGAGACAGGGTCTCACTAAGTGGTCCATGTGGGAGTTGACCTTGCAATCCTCCAGCCTCAGCCTCCCAAAGTGCTGAGATTATAGGCATGAGCCACAGTGCTCAGCAATCTATTGTATTTATATTTTGGCAGTCAAAGCAATTAAATATGCTTTTAACTATTTAAAAATCAGCAAAAATATCATCACAAACTAATGAAAAATAACATATAAAAACAATTATTAAGGACCCGAGTTCGATCCCCGGTACCAAAAAAAAAAAAAATTATTAAGGTTCAGGATTTAGCTCAGTGGTGCCGGGGTCGAGCCTGCCTTGTAAGTGCAAGGTCCTGAGTTCAATCCCCAGTACCAGTAAAAAAAAAAAATTATTATTAGCAGTATTACATTTATGTTCCACTATCATAAAATTTAAATGCTTAAATATTTTTACTAATTTAACACATTCACAACAGGACCATAATTCGTATGTCTCACTGCCAGGCAGCTTGAACCATTAGTGGTACCTGCATGACTGTTTCATTGAGCAACTTTTTTTTTGGTACCGGGGATCGAACTCAGGACCTTGTGCTTGCAAGGCAGGCACAGTGCCATGGAGCTAAATTCCTGGCCTCTCATTGGGCAACTGTTTATTAATTTTATTAGCGAAAAAACCCATTAAAGTGATTAGATCCATTTGTACCACCAGCGGCACAAGCTGCCCAATCAAGCCAGCAGGAAAATGTTAAACTATCAAAACACTTGAGGGCCAGGGATTTAGCTCAACGGCGCCTCACCCTCAGTTTGATCCCCGGTACCAAGAAAAAAAAAACACTTTAAACGGGCATGGTGGCATAGGCCTACAGTCCCAGCTTCTTGGGAAGCCAAGACAAGAGGATCACAAGTTTGAAGCCTACCCAGGCAATTTGGCAGGACTCTAACTCAAAAATAAAATGTTTTAAAAGGTGCTGTAGCTCATTGGTAGAATGCTTGCTTAGCTATGCAAGACTCTGCATTCAATCCCCAATATAAAAACAACAGTAACAACAATAACAAAAGACTTTCTATTCCTTTTTTATTTTTTTCTGGTTTTTTGAGATAGGGTCTCACTGTGTACTTTAGGCTGACCTTGAACTCACTATGTGGCCCAGGCTCGCCTCAAACTCACCCCAATCTTTCTGCCTCAGCCTCCCAAGTGCTAGGATTACAGGTGTGTCCCACCATGCCTGGCCATTCCTCTTTATTTACTTATTAATTTATCTTGTTTTTAAAAATATATACATTAGAAAGACAACTACATTCCACAATGCCAAATATAAGGAATTTAATGTTATAATTTACAAATTAAACCAGAAGGTAAATTAAACTTCATCATAACAAAAAATCATAAAATATGTTAAGCCTATGTTTCATTATACACCCATTAGTTTTCACTGCACACGAAAATATGGTGTTAGTTAATGTGAAAATTTGAATACTGACTTCAAGACTGAGTCCACCCTAGAAATCTACTCTCAGTAGAGAACAGCATGTGACTAGCTCAGCAGTGAGATTCAATTATCAGTTAAATGATGGTGTTATGGGTTGGGGGTTAGGCTCAGTGGTGCCATAAATGCCTAGCAAGTGCAAGGTCCTGAGTTTGATTCCCAGTGAGGGGGATGGACAATGGTGTCAGGTTTATGGATGAGAGGGCAGCAGTATCATCTCTTCATACAAAACACATAATTGTGGGGGCCAGGGATTTAGCTCAGTGGTTCTGCCACTTGCTTCACAAGCACAAGGACCCAAGTTCGATCCCCAGTACCAAAAAAAAAAAAAAAACCACATAATTGCTAAAAATTATAAATAAATCTAGTCTACTTTCCTGTTTACAACATTCATGATGCAAATATATATAGTGGAGTCTAAATGATAATGACAAATTCAAAAACAGGATCTCTCTCCTTAGACAAGGCGTGCTTATTCTCATGAAACCACAATCTCTGTTTCACTGTCACTGTCTGTCTGTTTGTCTGTCTCTCTCCATCTCTCTCTTACCTTTCTTCATCCAAAATAATAGAACCATCTTCAGCCACTTTCACTTGAGGAACCAGCAATGGCCCATCATCTGTCTCTTCTTCTGCTGCTTCATAATCCTCAGCATCAAGAGCACTCTTACTTTCTTGCCTACTAAATAGAAAGATAAGTTAATTCATACAGATATGAACAGTGTGTTTCTGGGCACTATAAGCGTAGCTCAGTGGTACAGTGTATCCTTCAGCATGTACAAGGCCCAGGTTCTATTTACAACACCAAAAACAATAATAAATGAAAAAGAAAAAACACCTCACATTGCATTATGCTAGTACATCTCTTCAGTAACTTTTAATTTCGGCTATTTACTCACCCCACCTTACTCTTTTTTCCTGACAGTGACACCTACCACACATACACAAGTTTCCTGAGTATTATAAACTTTAAAATAAGTAACCACAATTTAACCTTCAGCTATTTCCAACTTTTCTTATAACCTAAGTGAAAATACAATGTGCTGTTGAGGAGAAATCTGTAAGATTTTCTCAAATTTTATTTGGTAGTATTTAGTAAAAAACTTTTACACTCTTAAGAGATGGCGCTGGAGTTGCAGCTCAGGGGCAGAGCACTTGCCTGGCACGCAAAAGGCCTTGGGTTTGATCCCCAGCACTAGAAAAGGTAAATAAAATAAAACAGAAATAAATGGTCATCTTTTCTACCTTAACATCGTAATAAGTAAACCATCCAATTATTATGGAATTAACAATAACAATCCTTCAAGTTACCTAGTACTAGTTTCCAGATCATTTTATTAACTCTTCAGAGCAACTCTTCAGAATAAGAATGTTCATAACTCATTCGAACCTTAGAGAACATGAGTAACTTTTACTCTAGACTACACAACAACAGAGCAAAAAGCCAAAGACAGTTTTTCTTTTTTCTTTTAAAGAAGAGTATTTGGGGCCGGGGATTTAGCTCAGTGGTTCCAGCACCTGCCTGGCAAACACAAGGTCTTGAGTTCAATTCCCAGTACCAAAAAACAAATTAAAATTAAAATTAAAATTAAATCAAATGTAATCTGACTACTATAGGAAACACCATTTGATTTCATTTTTTAAAAAACATACCCATAATTGGATTAGGGCTGTAGCTCAGTGGTAGAGTACTTGCTTAGCATGAGCAAGAATGAGTTCAATCCTCAGCAGCAAGAAAAAAAAGTATCCATAATAGAATCTTTTCAAAAAAGAATAAGATAAGATGCTTACTCTTTTGCCTGGACTGGAGTCAATGGTTTTTCAGTTTTCTTTTCCTGTTCCAGTGAAGAACTATTAAACACAAATAACAAAATATTTTTAAATAAATATTAATTTATATCTTATTTATTCTATGTGTAGGCAAGAAGGAAATTATCTTAACTTCAACGTGTTTGTTTTTTCCGTTGAACTTAAATAATGATGTGATCCAACAACCAATTTTTCAGTCATGGCTGAGGAATTAGCACAGTGCATGCTTAGCATGAACAACACTCTGGGCTCAATCAATATCCACCTCAAAAAAAAAAAAAAAAGAAGACAAAAAGGAGGAAGGAAGGAAGAGAGGGAGGAGAAGGAAAAGGAAAAGAAAGAGAAGAATTTTTCAGCCGTGAGTAGGAAATGCTCTCACCCTCTAATTCCTTAGTACTGAGGTACTCTGGGAGGCATGAAGCAACCTAGGTGGATTGTTTCCAATGCTAGATGTCAAACAACTCAAAACCTAGGTTTCTAGCCCTTTCTTTACCTGGGTAAAAGACCTGGTAAACTCAAAAAGGACTATACTGAAAAATATGGTAACTCCACCTGCTAAGCAATAAACAACACAATACTGAAGAAATTAATTATAAGCCTTCTGCCTGACCCACACCTCAGACTAACTTTGATTAAAGCTTTGTTCTTCCAGGACGTGTTAATCAAATTGCCACTGTATTATATTACAAGGTCTGGCATAAAATAGACTACTCCTCTAAATCAAGTTCTAGTATATAGAAATAGAAATTACAATAGAAGTTGATTAGATGGTTTTACTATATCCTAATAATGTAACAAAGGAACTTTTTTTTTTTTTGTACCGGGGACCAAACTTGGGTCCTTGCACTTGCACAGCAGGCGGAGAAACCACTGAGCTAAATCCCTGGCCCAAAGGAACTTATTTTTAATCCCAGCCGTAAAAGGGCATCATTTACCATCCCCAGAAAGCAATTAGAGAACTTGAACTATCATAGGAGGGTTACACTCAAAAGTAGAGGACATGGGCTGGGGATTTAGCTCAGTGGCACCACGCCTGCCTTGCAGGCACAAGATCCTGAGTTGGATCCCTGGTACTAAAAAAAATGTAGAGGACATAGCACAAGAAACACCCTATGTTTGATCCTCAGCACCAACAAAAAAAGAGAGATCACTAATTTTTGTTACAAATTTTATCTAAAAGAACAACAGGTATATGTTAGTGTATGTGCTGCCGAAGCGAGCATAACAGGTATATTATAAATTTTGTCAACATACATGCTTTTGGAAAACACTAAACTGTATGCTAAAAGTGATATTTAAGTCACTACACACTCAAAGAAACTAAAGAGAAATAAATTTTACTTACGACATTGGATTGTTATCTGGTAGGTAATATATGAAGTCTCTCATAGTCATTTTTGAACGATCTGGTGGCATCTGGCTTTCATTTATGGCATATTTGTTTTTCCATTGTTTCTACATACACAAGAACACACAAAGATCTACTTTTATAAACACAGAATTTCAGATATACAATCTACTTCTACATACATCACAAGTGCTTTAATACTATTCCTACTCCACCTGTGCCTAATTTTAGGAAAAAAATTATAAACTAAATATTAAAAAGTTATAGTACATACCCTTAAGTGAAATAAATAGGACACACATACATAAATATAGAATAATTTCTCTGGTGTGGGGGTCGGGGTTTTAGCTCAGTGGTTTCAACGTCTGCTACGCAAGCACAAGGACCCGAGTTCGAGCCCCAGTACCAAAAAAAAAAAAATCAAGGCAACTTCTCTGCTGTGAAAAACTAAAAGTGTAAGTAAGGATCAAAATGTATAATTGATATTGTTAAATAGGAAGAAAAGGTCTAAAGGAGTAGGAGAAGTGGGAGGGGTAGGAAAAAGGAAAGAAGGGAAAAGAAAAATATGAGAAAAGGAAAAAAATGGAAACAAAGTCTCTGTAAAATAGGGAAGGGTGGAGGAGTGAAGGGAGGGCAGGGGAATGGGGAAAAAATAAGAACCAAGATACATCATGTAAAGGTACAAGATCCCAATGATGAATGTAACTGTATTGTATACCTAAAATGTACCAATAAACTTAAAGAAAAAAAAAAGTTATAGGGCCGGGGATTTAGCTCAGTGGTTTTGTTGCCTGCTTCGCAAGTGTAAGGACCTGAGTTCAATCTCCGGTACCAAAAAGAAAAAGAAAAAAAAAGTCCCTGGGCCAGGGATTTAGCTCAGTGGTGCCGCCACTGCCTTGCAAGCACAAGGTCCCAAGTTCAATCCCCGGTACCAAAAAAAAAAAAAAAAAAAAGAGCCTAGTATATTGCACAATATGAAGGCCGAGTTCAAACTCCAGTACCACCAAAAACAGATGTCACTTGGTTTCTCCTCATCAAAGGCTACAGGTGCTTTTCTTCCAAATGATACCACAGTTCCCTAAACAGAAATCTAGAAGGCAACATGAAAGTTGTGATTTTCTTCCCTTACCTTATCCTTTCTCAATTCTTCTTTTAACATTTCCCGTAGTTTCTGGGCTTTGTATAATCGGTATCTGTCTGAGCATAGCTGTTTCTCTTTTGTTCGAACAGGGTTAGGCTGTGGAACACCTTGATTAACCGTAGGTAAGGGAGGAGACTGTGAAGGAACACTGACACTAGGTTCAACTAGACTAGAAGTACTTGATAGTCGCCTTCTCAGGGAAACAGCAGAGGATGATGTATAGGATTCTTCAACATTATTTTCACCATCGATCTTTTCATCACTGTTGAAATTTTTAAAAAAGAACCATTAATCTTCTATATATGCTACTTTTAAAGCCAGGTATGGTGGCACATAACTGAAATCCAGCATGTGGGAGGCTGAGGCAGGGGAATGAAGACTTTGAGGTCAGCCTGGGCTACCAAGTCCGATGGCAGCCTGAACTATTAAACAATAACCTGTCTTAAAAACATACATTCATACATACATACATACATACATAAGACATAGTCTGGTAAAATTCCAAAGCAATAAAGCTTCATTATTTAAATAAAAAAAGCAAAAAGAGTTAACATGTGTTATGTACACATAACAACTCACCATGATAAATGTAATATAAACATGTACTAATAAAAATAAATTTTTAAAAAATCAATCTGGGCATAATAACACATGCCTATAATTCCAGCACTCTGGAACTGAGGCAGAAGAATCACAGTTTCAAGCGCTGCCTGGGCAATTTAGCAACTTTAGCAAGACCCTGTCTCAAAATTTAAAAGGTGGAGGAGTTTTGGAAAAATGGTGGAGCAGTAAGTGCCAGCAACTCAGCTTCTCCAGGACAAGGTGTCTATAGAGTCTGGAAAATAGTAGTTTAGAGAGTTATCAAAGTGAAAGGAGGTTACCTGGAGCCAGGAGGGAACTGACAATGGCGGGGGATAATTGATATAGAAGAAATAAAGGAGAGAGGGGAACCTTGCAAACCTCGCTGCAGAGAGCAGCTGGCCAGTCACCAGCCGAGAAAGTGAATCCAGAGACTTTCACTCACAGAACCGGACAACCAGACTGGGATTGAGAGATGCAGGAGCAGTTGGAGCTGCAAGGAAATATGGGATACTACTTCCAGAGCGGCCTTCCACAGTCAATAGCGGATCAGTGGCCCTGGTATAGCGCCTGCAGCCACAATCATGAAGGAGGGCTGCCGGAGACGCCATTGTAGGGAAGACAGTGCTAGAACCTGGGTCCCCCAGCAGCCCCTTGGCTTCTGGACGCACTCCACACTGTCAAGTTCCCAGAGTGGATGGGTGAAGGACAGCCACGGGACAGCCGTGAGTTGGAAAGCAGGCTACAGGAAGTCCCTCTGAGGGGCTGAGGCTGGTGAACACAGACTGGCTCCTGCAGTCAGAGGCCAGGTTCAGCCTGAGTTACACAGGACTGGAAGCTCACACTGGCGCCTGTTCTCACCGTGGAGGTCTGTACCCAACACCGCTCTGGGGGTGGACGGCCACCTCAGACTTTCAGCATGAACAGAGATCCACCCTGGCTTGAGCTCTGCTCCTTAATCCTAGACTGAGGAAAGAGCCATGCTTCCAAAACAATAGAAAACTTTATTTTATTTTATTGTATAATTCTTTATTTAATTTCTCTTCTTTCACTGTTTTCTTCCTCCTATTCATTTTCCCCCATTTTTATTCCATTATTTTCCCCCTTTTTTTAATGAGCAGGTCTGTTTGTGTATGTGTGCTTCTCTTCCTCTCACCTTTTTCTTCCAATATAGTTTTACAGGGTAAAGGAATTCTCCCTTGTCCTTTTATATCCCTCTTACCTTTATCCATATCTTTTCGCCTGACTTCTTTCTCCTGTTTTGTATTCTGTCTCAAATTTTCTTTTCTTTTCCCCCCTCCCTTTTCATTCATCTCTCTTTAGCTTTTTCTAACATTTCTATCAGTCACAGAATCTTTTCCCATACCCATTTCTCATTACCAATTTTGTACCCAGTTTTCCCTGTTATCCCCATCTAAATATATAACATACCTTTACTATCATTACAATCCTGTGCACCCCTCCTACGCCCTTCCCATACCACAAAGCAGAGGTCTTAAAAAATAAAAAAAATTTTTTTAACTTTTCTTTTTTCTCTTCTCTTCCCCTCTCTGGCATTACCCAGTCCCCAACTTCCTGGGCTTTAGATAACTGAGTCTATAAAATCACTGTTGAGCACTGGTTTTTGCCATTAGAGGAGATATAGCCATTGCATTTAGTGAATATTAACTGTGGGTCAATTCTTCGGTTATTATGATGCTTTCAGTATAACCGCGGTTTTCTTCTCTAAAGGGAGACCCTCAACAGGGTCTTATGTTACTCCTCAACTAGCCCTGATAGACACCACTATAACAGATTAGCCTGCTACTACTGTAGCTGATTTGATTACATCAGAATAATCCTGATTCCGTGGACAATTTTATGCCAGTGAATCTGTCTGCCAATTCCACCATCACACCCAAACAGAGGGACAGCAAGAGTCTCTAACTCAAGAACTTCAACTGGGGCCGGGGATTTAGCTCAGTGACACCATGCCTGCCTCGCAAGCAAAAGGTACTGAGTTCGATTCCCAGTACCAAAAAAAAAAAAACTTCAACTGGATCAGAGTCTGCAAGAATGCCTGCAGCCTGGCAGAAAGAAGTCCTGAGTCTGAGTTAGCTTCAGTATTTTGATGGAAGGATCAGAGAAGTTACTGGGGTGTCAGCATTCAGATTCTCTGGCAAAGAAGCTACTTGGGAATCACATATGCAACACCTTATTGGAATATTTATTCTGAGTTCCCACTGGACATCTTATAGTTTTTGTATGTTTCTTGATTTATTTAGTAACATGGGCTTATGTTATGTTCCTTTATAGTTTTTGGGTGCGTGTGTGTGTGTTCATTAGGTTGTGACTTTCATGTCTTTGTTCTTTCATTGGCTCTGATTTAATAGGTGTCTAGGTTCTCTCATCTCAGCTCCCTATCTTCTTTTTTCATCTCAAAACCCTGAAACAATATTAACTTATTTTATTCTTTTTCCAAACACATAAACTCCTTCTCCCAAGTTTTTAAATTTCCTATATTTAGCTCCCTCACATTCACGCTTATCTTCTCTAGTTACTAACCCTCAATCCTCCCCATCCTACACCTTTGGCTCTTCCATATCTTACCTAGCTTATTATCCTCCCTCATCAGCAAGTTCTGACAATCAGACTTCCTCAGTCACAAAGTAAACCTTTCTCCTATATCTCACACTTGCTCCTACAAATATCCTCTGAAAACTCTCAACATTAACCCTTCAACTCAATTAAAAGTACTCCAATAGAATCAGACCCCACATCAACCTTTTCTCTGATCTACCACTATTCCCCACTTCAAACCTCTCCCTTAGTTTCTAACACTCCTCATCCAACCACCTCCCATTCTTCTCAGCCCACCTCACCTACCACATTATAGAACAATCACAAATAATAAACTATCATAGTGTGTATAGAAACTAGACAAAGACAGAAAATGTAACTAAAAGATCTATCATGCAAAACTTACACACAGAGTCCAAATCACTGAAAGTAAATAACAGGAGTAAAGACAAGCACCAGACATATAAAGCTGTAATTACTCACCGAGAGGCAATATCACACTACAAATCTCCATATAAGCCACAAATGCCTCATTTCTCTAGTCCTCAACCTGCAGTACCCCCTCAAAAAAGAGGGTGGGTGTATGTTTTTTTAAAATTGCATACACACACACACACACGCAAATGGGGAAACAGAAGAGCCCCAAATTCTCCTAACTCTCCCAAGGGAGAGTAAGGGGCCACAAAGGGAGAAGAATATAAACACCAAGTAGCAGAAATCTACAAAAAATTCATAGAGATGAAGAAAATAAATGATTTCATAGACTGGCAGAATGGATTAAGAAGCAAAATCCAACAAAATGCTGTATACAAGAAACCCACTTAGTTCACAAAGAAATTCACAGACTGAAAGTAAAAGGATGGAGAACAGTTCTCCACGCAACAGGAGCCTGGGAAAAAAACGAGGGTAGCTATCTTAGTTGCAGACAAAATAGATTTCAAACCAAAACTAATTAAGAAAGACAAAGAAGGCCACTACATCCTTGTAAAAGGAACACTCCAAGAGGAAGATATGACAATCATAAGTACATATGCACCAAATACTAATGCCCCCAACTATACAAAACAAATATTAATGGACATGAAAAACCAAATAAGCACTAATACAACTGTAGTGGGGGACCTCAATACCCCACTGTCACAAATAGACAGACCATCTAGACAAAAAAATCAACAACAAAATAATAGAACTGAACCAAGCTTTTGAAGAAATGGACTTAATAAATACCTACAGAGTGTTCCACCCTACAAAATCAGAATATACATTCTATTTGGCTGCACACAGGTCATTCTCCAAAATAGACCACATGATGGCTCACAGAACATGTTTAAGTAAATGCAAAGGAATTGAAGTTATCCCCTATATATTATCAGATCATAGTGCAATTAAACTGGAGATCAACAGCATAAGAAACCACAAGAACTGCACAAACACATGGAAATCGAATAACACCCTCCTGAACAACCAATGGGTCACAGAAGAAATTAAAGAAGAAATTAGAGGCCAGGGATTTGGCTCAGTGGTTCTGCTGCCTGCCTCGCAAGCGCAAGGACACGAGTTCCATCCCCAGTACCAAGAAAGAAAAGAAGGAAAAGAAGAAGGGAAAGGGGAAGGGGAAGAGGAAGAAGGGGAAAGGGAAGAAGGGGAAGGGGAAGAAGGGGAAGGGGAAGGGAAGGGGAAGGAGAAGGGGAAGGGAGAAAGAAAGAAAAAGAAAGGGCACATTAGACAGCTTCTACAATTAAATAATGCCAATATAAGATATAGGAATCTATGGGATACAATGAAAGTTCTATGAGGGAAATTCATAGCAGTAAATGCCCATATTAGGAAAACAGAGCAAGCTCAAATAAACAACCTAATGCTGAAACTTAAGCTCCTAGAAAAAGAAGAGCAAGACAAACCCAAAGCTCATACAAGGGAGGAAATTATAAAGATTAGAGCAGAAATCAATGCAATGGAGACTAAGA